TTCCTTATAGCTATCTAGAACAGCATTTGACTAGTCAATCATATGAAAAAGCATTCGTTGCACACGAGTGTGTTGTTTAGCAGTAAAAATAGTACCAATGACTTTTTTCATGCAATTTTTAGTATGCCTTCTATACTTTCATCCATTTTTGTGTGTGGAGTTTAGGGTAATTCTCGTCCCGATAACCGGATTCATTTGCAAAGACACCATTGTAAAGACAGCTTTGTATCATCAACGATCTGTTTATGATATTCCTACTCGGTGAAAAATTACCTTTGCAGTTAAAATTAAAAACCAAATTAAGATATCATGATTTTTATTTCTGAAACACATTGCTGATAGAATTGCAACGAAGCTCGTGCAAGTTAAAACCTTTTTTGCGTGCCAAAAGATTACTTCGCTACTCGCAGACGACAATAGGTCTGGTTTTGCATTCATTCAACTTGCATTAAAAAACTTCTATTTTGAAAAAAGGAATGAGAGGAAAATACGAAAAACGACAATGATTCAAAGTTTTTCTCACTCTTTATTCACATCAACCTTAATGTACATCGCAGATAAATATTCTATAACCAAGTAAACATTATGTTGTTTTGTATCAAAGTGACAGATGTCCTGTATTGATAGAAGGTTGGAAGACGTAGCCAACCAAACCTGTAGTTAACTTGGATGCCAAAATCTAGCTGAGTTAAACAGTTTTGAAGCATTTGAGTGCCGATATTTCCTTATATGCACTCACATTGTCATCCTTCTCATTCAAAGGAATATTGACAACATTTCCATGCACAAAAACAGGAAACAGAAACTTGGCACCCAACCTAGCTCTTATAGTACAAATTCTTTTGGCAATATGTGCCTTCTTGTCTGCATAATACTCAATCAAGTGGTATGCCACTGCCAATTCAGAGTTGCGTTCAACTTCAAGAGGGAAGATTTGCCCGTTAACGACCATTGGAATTTTGACTGTAGGATTGGGATCAAGTGGCCCAACGTCTACTGGTGTAAGATCTCCATCATCAAATAAGCTAGATTTGGCATAGTCTGGGCCGTTGTTTTGTGGAAATCTAGGAAATTCCATTGACACTTTGAGATGTAATGGAAGATCATTTAATGTGTTCGTAGCATAACTGTCCTTGCTTGGCAGTTCTTGTTGATCTTCTTCGTCTTCGTACATGCTTGTGCTTTCATCTTCTTTGGAACACGTGGACACCTCTCCGTGACACGTATCGCCTTGAGCTAAACATGACGACTCTGCGCTATACACTGAATCTTCATATCCTGAATCTTGTTGGTAGTAGGAGTCGAGCGGATCGTCATCCATGGCTGCAAATTTCTCAATCTTCTGGCGAAAATGTTCGATGACATTGAGCACGCTGTCAGGTGTGCTCTTTGGATACGACTGTGGATCTACGACGGTGCCACTGCAAGGGACAAGATAGGGTAAAGGGTGCCTCGTTGCAACATATGCGTGACTGGTTTGATCTCTTGCTGCCAATGAATTGATCCGGCTTTGTGCATGATGCATTTGCTGATTGGCTTTGAAATGGAAATTTCCACTTGAGTTTGTGGATTGTGGCAATTTTTCTCCTTTATTGTTGTCTTTAGCTCTGAAAATGACCTGCAGAAACAAGATATATCCTTTATTATTCGACATTTACGTAAGATGCATGCTAAATGTGTGAAAAAAAAGTTTGATACTATTTCATCTTCACTTTTCAGCAAGTGACCAATTTATTGTTACCACGAAACCAACGAGACCTGCAGGCAAATAATTGCCCATTCCTTACATTGGTCATTGAATTCTACGTTTTTGTGATAAATCATTTACCCCACAAATCATTAAAAGTCTTGTTCTCTGACTATAAGGAGAACTGACTTAGCTTGTTTCGGCCATTTTACAACAATATCTCATGTTCAATCAATATGGTCGATTTTGTAAAATTGTTTGGAACCGAGTTGAGAACAGCAAACAAACGCAGATTACTTTCTGCAGAACAGAATGACTCACCCTAGATGTGTTTCCTTTTGGAAGAGTTATCTGCTCGTGGGTCGATGGAGACCGTTCTAAAATGAAAAGGGTAAATTTAGCAGTGTTCACTTGGTCTATCGAAGAACTGACTATATATCAAAGATGTACATTATAAAAGATAATTCCATTCTAGTCATGTTCGTACAATAAGAATGGAACTTTACCGAGAATCACCCGCTTTACGGAGAAAAAAACCAAATATGTGACAAATGATATATTCATCCATCTCACCTTTTCGAATGGCTTTGATTCTTCGAAATATTTTGGATATTCTGTTAAGCGTGGACGACATTCGTTTGGTTGGTGAGGCTAAAAATGAGGACATAACTCTACTAACACCAGCATAAAGACGTAAATTTTTGATCAAATCTGATTGAAAGTTCTAATTTAAAAATTTCTATGTACATTGCATATAATAGGAAAATAATTGTGTAAATAAGATGCATGTTTTTAGCAGCTCTATCCCTTGATTAGTGTAATATTAAACAGGAACCACTTGATGTTTCACGCTTGTAATGTAGTTTATGTTTGTCTGAGACAAGAATCATTAATAAAAGATATCTTGCTTTGAGCCAGGAATAAACTTAAATCACAATAAACGATACAAACCTTCATTAGGCCTCTGGAACTTCGAAAGACAGCAACCCATGCTGTGTTTGTTTCTTCTCTCGAAAAATATATCTCACTCTGAACGACGACTAAAAGTTTGAGATTTTCAACTCAACTTTAAAAAGAGTCAATGCAGTTACCGTAGCCACTGAACTGACGAATGCTCAGTTGATTGTTGCTCCTTTTATTGGCGTTAATCAATGTGACGTCACAATCAACTTGATACTCTACGGCGAGATGAAACTGAGGCTCTTCATAACAATCAATTGACGTCATAAACAACGAGATGAAGGTCAGGATATGAAGCCTCAAAACGAGGCTCGCCTCTTTGAAATGTTTACGCTCCAGCACGATATTTTCCTTATTATGAGATAATCAGATAGTTCTATTGGTTATGTAGTGCTCGATAATTTGTTGCTTTGGGTTGTGTTTTCAAGCTGTGCTTCTTTCACTCATTTGTATCAATGGTCTAGAAAAATCACTTCTTCGATGCCATATTTGATGACGTATCGTGGTTTAAGCGCTTTACAGTGTTTCTCTGGACAAAATGTGAATTTAATTCTCATGTATAGCATCGAAATTCCTTTCTTTATAGCTATCTAGAACAGCATTTGACTAGTCAATCATATGAAAAAGCATTCGTTGCACACGAGTGTGTTGTTTAGCAGTACAAATAGTACTAATGACATTTTTCATGCAATCTTTAGTATGCCTTCTATCCTTTCATCAACTTTCTCGTGTGGAGTTTAGGGTAATTCTCGTCCCGATAACCGGCCTCATTTGCAAAGACGCCATTGTAAAGACAGCTTTGTATCATCTTCGATCTGTTTATGATATTCCTAATCGGTGAAAAATTACCTTTGCAGATCAAATTAAAAAGCCATTTGAGATATCATGATTTTTATTCCTGAAACACATTGCTGATAGAATTGCAACGAAGCTCGTGCAAGTTAAAACCTTTTTTGCGTGCAAAAAGATTACTTCGATACTCACAGATGACAGTAGGTTTGGTTTTGTATATATTCAACTTCTGTTTACAACTTGTGTTTAAAAAAAAGAAATGAGAGGAAAATACGAAAAACGACAATGATTTAAAGTTTTTCACACTTTTGATTCAGATTAACCTTATTGTACATCGCAGATGAATATTCTGTAACCAAGTAAACATTATGTTGTTTTGTATCACAGTGACAGATGTCCTGTATTGATAGAAGGTTGGAAGACGTAGCCAACCAAACCTATAGTTAACTTGGATGCTAAAATCTAACTTAGTTAAGCAGTTTTGAAGCATTTAAATGCCGATATTTCCCTATATGCCCTCACATTGTCATCCTTCTCACTCAAAGGAATATTGACAACATTTCCATGCACAAAAACAGGAAACAAAAACTTGGCACCCAACCTAGCTCTGATAGTACAAATTCTTTTGGCAATGTGTGCCTTCTTGTCTGCATAATACTCAATCAAGTGGTATGCCACTGCCAATTCAGAGTTGCGTTCAACTTCAAGAGGGAAGATTTGCCCGTTAACAACCATTGGAATTTTGACTGTAGGATTGGGATCAAGTGGCCCAACGTCTACTGGTGTAAGAACTCCGTCATCAAATAAGCTAGATTTGGCATACTCTGGACCGTTGTTTTGTGGAAATCTAGGAAATTCCATTGACACTTTGAGATGTAATGGAAGATCATTTAATGTTGTGTTCTTAGCATAACTGTCCTTGCTTGGCAGTTCTTGTGGATCTTCTTCGTCTTCGTACATGCTTGTGCTTTCATCTTCTTCGGAACACGTGGACACCTCTCCGTGACACGTATCGTCTTGAGCTAAACATGACGACTCTGGGCTATACACTGAATCTTCATATCCTGAATCTTGTTGGTAGTAGGAGTCGAGCGGATCGTCATCCATGGCTGCAAATTTTTCAATCTTCTGGCGAAAATGTTCGATGACATTGAGCACGCTGTCAGGTGTGCTCTTTGGATACGACTGTGGATCTACGACGTTGCCACTGCAAGGGACAAGATAGGGTAAAGGGTGCCTCTTTGCACCATATGCGTGACTGGTTTGATCTCTTGCTGCCAATGAATTGGGCTATGTGCATGATGCATTTGCTGATTGGCTTTGAAATGGAAATTTCCACTTGAGTTTGTGGATTCTGGCAATTTTTCTCCTTTATTGTTGTCTTTAGCTCTGAAAATGACCTGCAGAATTAAGATATATCTTTTACTATTCGATGTGTGATGTTTAGCTAAATGTGTGAAAAGTAAGTTTGATACTATTTTATCTTCACTTTTCAGCAAGTGACCAATTTATTGTTACCACGAAACCAACGAGACCTGCAGGCAAATAATTGCCCATTGCTTACATTGGCCATTGAATTCTACGTTTTTGTGATAAATCATTTACCCCACAAATCATTAAAAGTCTTGTTCTCTGACTATAAGGAGAACTGACTTAGCTTGTTTCGGCCATTTCACAACAATATCTCATGTTCAATCAATATGGTCGATTTTGTAAAATTGTTTGGAACCGAGTTGAGAACAGCAAACAAATGCAGATTACTTTATGCAGAACAGAATGACTCACCCTAGATGTGTTTTCTTTTGGAAGAGTTATCTGATCGTCGATCGATGGAGACCCTTCTAAAATGAAAAGGGTAAATTTAGCAGTGTCAATTGGTCTATCGTGGACGATACAAACTGTTAAACGTGGACGACATTCGTTTGGTTGGTGAGGCTAAAAATGAGGACATAACTCTACTAACACCAGCATAAAGACGTAAATTTTTGATCAAATGTGATTGAAAGTTCTAATTTAAAAATTTCTATGTACATTGCATACAATACGAAAATAATTTTGTAAATAAAATGCATGTTTTTAGCAGCTCTATCCTTTGATTAGTGTAATATTAAACAGGAACCACTTGATGTTTCACGCTTGTTAAGTAGTTTATGCTTGTCTGAGACAAGAATCATTAATTAAAGATATCTTGCTTTGAGCCAGCATAAACTTAAATCACAATAAACGATACAAACCTTCATTAGGCCTCTGGAACTTCGAAAGACAGCAACTCGTGCTGCGTTTGTTTCTTCTCTAGGAGAATATATCGCACTCTGAACGACGACTAGAAGTTTGAGATTTTCAACTCAGCTTTAAAAAGAGTCAATGCAGTTACCGTAGCCACTGAATTGACGAATGCTCAGTTGATTGTTGCTCCTTTTATAGGCTTTAATCAATGTGACGTCACAATCAACTTGATACTCTACGGCGCATAACAATCAATTGGCGTCATAAACAAAAAGATGGTAGTCTGGATATAAAGCCTCAAAACGAGGCTCGCCTGCTTGAAATGTTTACGATCCAGCACTGTATTTTCCTTATTATGAGATAATCAGATAGTTCTGTTGGTTGTATGCTGCTCGATATTTTGTGGCTTTGGTTTGTGTTTTCAAGCTGTGCTTCTTTCACTCATTTGTATCAAAGGTCTAGAATTAATCAGTTCTTCGTTGCCATATTTATTGACGTATCGTGGTTTAAGCGCTTTACAGTGTTTCTCAGGACAAAATTTGAATTTAATTCTCATGTATAGCATCGAAATTCCTTTCTTTATAGCTATCTAGAACAGCATTTGACTAGTCAATCATATGAAAAAGCATTCGTTGCACACGAGAGTGTTGTTTAGCAGTACAAATAGTACTAATGACATTTTTCATGCAATCTTTAGTATGCCTTCTATACTTACATCAATTTTTTTGTGTGGAGTTTAGGGTAATTCTCGTTACGATAACCGGACTCATTTGTAAAGACGCCATTGTAAAGACACCTTTGTATCATCTTCGATCTGTTTATGATATTCCTACTCGGTGAAAAATTACCTTTGAAGATCAATTTAAAAAGCTATTTGAGATATCATGATTTTTATTCCTGAAACACATTGCTGATAGAATTGCAACGAAGCTCGTGCAAGTTAAAACCTTTTTTGCGTGCAAAAAGATTACTTCGATACTCACAGACGACAGTAGGTTTGGTTTTGTATATATTCAACTTCTGTTTAAAACTTGTGTTTAAAAAAAAGAAATGAGAGGAAAATACGAAAAACGACAATGATTTAAAGTTTTTCACACTTTTGATTCAGATCAACCTTATTATACATCGCAGATGAATATTCTGTAACCAAGTAAACATTATGTTGTTTTGTATCACAGTGACAGATGTCCTGTATTGATAGAAGGTTGGAAGACGTAGCCAACCAAACCTGTAGTTAACTTGGATGCTAAAATCTAACTTAGTTAAGCAGTTTTGAAGCATTTAAATGCCGATATTTCCCTATATGCCCTCACATTGTCATCCTTCCTACTCAAAGGAATATTGACAACATTTCCATGCACAAAAACAGGAAACAAAAACTTGGCACCCAACCTAGCTCTGATAGTACAAATTCTTTTGGCAATGTGTGCCTTCTTGTCTGCATAATACTCAATCAAGTGGTATGCCACTGCCAATTCAGAGTTGCGTTCAACTTCAAGAGGGAAGATTTGCCCGTTAACGACCATTGGAATTTTGACTGTAGGATTGGGATCAAGTGGCCCAACGTCTACTGGTGTAAGATCTCCATCATCAAATAAGCTAGATTTGGCATAATCTGGGCCGTTGTTTTGGGGAAATCTAGGAAATTCCATTGACACTTTGAGATGTAATGGAAGATCATTTAATGTTGTGTTCTTAGCAAAACTGTCCTTGCTTGGCAGTTCTTGTTGATCTTCTTCGTCTTCGTACATGCTTGTGCTTTCATCTTCTTTGGAACACGTGGACACCTCTCCGTGACACGTATAGGCTTGAGATAAACATGACGACTCTGCGCTATACACTGAATCTTCATATCCTGAATCTTGTTGGTAGTAGGAGTCGAGCGGATCGTCATCCATGGCTGCAAATTTCTCAATCTTCTGGCGAAAATGTTCGATGACATTGAGCACGCTGTCAGGTGTGCTCTTTGGATACGACTGTGGATCTACGACGTTGCCACTGCAAGGGACAAGATAGGGTAAAGGGTGCCTCGTTGCACCATATGCGTGACTGGTTTGATCTCTTGCTGCCAATGAATTGATCCGGCTATGTGCATGATGCATTTGCTGATTGGCTTTGAAATGGAAATTTCCACTTGAGTTTGTGGATTGTGGCAATTTTTCTCTTTTATTGTTGTCTTTAGCTCTGAAAATGACCTGCAGAAACAAGATATATCTTTTATTATTCGATATTTACGTAAGATGCATGCTAAATGTGTGAAAAGAAAGTTTGATACTATTTCATCTTCACTTTTCAGCAAATGACCAATTTATTGTTACCACGGAACCAACGAGAACTGCAGGCAGATAATTGCCCATTCCTTACATTGGCCATTGAATTCTACGTTTTTGTGATAAATCATTTACCCCACAGTTCATTAAAAGTCTTGTTCTTTGACTATAAGGAGAACTGACTTAGCTTGTTTCGGCCATTTTACAACAATATCTCATGTTCAATCAATATGGTCGATTTTGTAAAATTGTTTGGAACCGAGTTGAGAACAGCAAACAAACGCAGATTACTTTATGCAGAACAGAATGACTCACCCTAGATGTGTTTCCTTTTGGAAGAGTTATCTGCTCGTGGGTCGATGAAGACCGTTCTAAAATGAAAAGGGTAAATTTAGCAGTGTTCACTTGGTCTATCGAAGAACTGACTATATATCAAAGATGTACATTATAAAAGATAATTCCATTCTAGTCATGTTCGTACAATAAGAATGGAACTTTACCGAGAATCACCCGCTTTACGGAGAAAAAAACCAAAAAAGTCACAAATGATATACTCATTCATCTCACCTTTTCGAATGGCTTTGCTTCTTCGAAATATTTTGGACATTCTGTTAAGCGTGGACGACATTCGTTTGGTTGGTGAGGCTAAAAATGAGGACATAACTCTACTAACACCAACATAAAGACGTAAATTTTTGATCAAATGTGATTTAAAGTTCTAATTTAAAAGTTCCTATGCACATTGCATATAATACGAAAATAATTGTGTAAATAAGATGCATGTTTTTAGCAGCTCTATCCCTTGATTAGTGTAATATTAAACAGGAACCACTTGATGTTTCACGCTTGTAATGTAGTTTATGTTTGTCTGAGACAAGAATCATTAATAAAAGATATCTTGCTTTGAGCCAGGAATAAACTTAAATCACAATAAACGATACAAACCTTCATTAGGCCTCTGGAACTTCGAAAGACAGCAACCCATGCTGTGTTTGTTTCTTCTCTCGAAAAATATATCTCACTCTGAACGACGACTAAAAGTTTGAGATTTTCAACTCAACTTTAAAAAGAGTCAATGCAGTTACCGTAGCCACTGAACTGACGAATGCTCAGTTAATTGTTGCTCCGTTTATTGGCGTTAATCAATGTGACGTCACAATCAACTTGATACTCTACGGCGAGATGAAACTGAGGCTCTTCATAACAATCAATTGACGTCATAAACAACAAGATGGTAGTCTGGATATAAAGCCTCAAAAGGAGGCTCACCTTCTTGAAATGTTTATGATCCAGCACTATATTTTCCTTATTATGAGATAATCAGATAGTTCTATTGGTTATGTAGTGCTCGATAATTTGTTGCTTTGGTTTGTGTTTTCAAGCTGTGCTTCTTTCACTCATTTGTATCAATGGTCTAGAAAAATCACTTCTTCGATGCCATATTTGATGACGTATCGTGGTTTAAGCGCTTTACAGTGTTTCTCAGGACAAAATGTTAATTTAAATCTCATGTATAGCATCGAAATTCCTTCCTTATAGCTATCTAGAACAGCATTTGACTAGTCAATCATATGAAAAAGCATTCGTTGCACACGAGAGTGTTGTTTAGCAGTACAAATAGTACTAATGACATTTTTCATGCAATCTTTAGTATGCCTTCTATACTTACATCAATTTTTTTGTGTGGAGTTTAGGGTAATTCTCGTTACGATAACCGGACTCATTTGTAAAGACGCCATTGTAAAGACACCTTTGTATCATCTTCGATCTGTTTATGATATTCCTACTCGGTGAAAAATTACCTTTGAAGATCAATTTAAAAAGCCATTTGAGATATCATGATTTTTATTCCTGAAACACATTGCTGATAGAATTGCAACGAAGCTCGTGCAAGTTAAAACCTTTTTTGCGTGCAAAAAGATTACTTCGATACTCACAGACGACAGTAGGTTTGGTTTTGTATATATTCAACTTCTGTTTAAAACTTGTGTTTAAAAAAAAGAAATGAGAGGAAAATACGAAAAACGACAATGATTTAAAGTTTTTCACACTTTTGATTCAGATCAACCTTATTGTACATCGCAGATAAATATTCTGTAACCAAGTAAACATTATGTTGTTTTGTATCACAGTGACAGATGTCCTGTATTGATAGAAGGTTGGAAGACGTAGCCAACCAAACCTTGGATGCTAAGATCTAGCTTAATTAAACAGTTTTGAAGCATTTGAATACCGATATTTCCTTATATGCACTTACATTGTCATTCTTGTCTTTCAAAGGAATATTGATAACATTTCCATGCACAAAAACAGGAAACAGAAACTTGGCACCCAACCTAGCTTTTATAGTACAAATTTTTTTGGCGAACGACAACTAAAAGTTTGAGATTTTCAACTCAACTTTAAAAAGAGTCAATGCAGTTACCGTAGCCACTGAACTGACGAATGCTCAGTTAATTGTTGCTCCTTTTATAGGCGTTAATCAATATGACGTCACAATCAACTTGCTACTCTTCGGCAAGATGTATCTGAGGCTCTTCATAACAATCAATTGACGTCATAAACAGGAAGATTGTTTCCTGGTAATAACATTTTTTATAACAGTACAGATTTTGACCGAGTTTTCTCTTACCTTCAATCTTTGTTATGCTCTATACTTTCCTTTAATTTTCATAAAGTGAAGCAAATGAAAAATTTAGTCCCAATAGCCCAACACTCTTTCTAAGACACCTTGGTGGAAATTTATAGATTTCTTTATGATGCTTCCTCATCAGTGGTATCTATTTTTTGCTGATAGAGATTCGTGATCTATTGTTTCTGAAGCACATTGCTTATAGAATAGATAGAATGCTTGTGCAAAATATTACCTTGAATTAGCATTACATTACCTTGATACTTATAGACTACTATGGTGTAAGTTTGAGATCGCTTGAACTTTCTTTTAAAAAATGAAATGAGAAGAAAATACGAAAAATGACATATGAACCTTAATTTTAAAAAAAACCTATAGATCCATTCACACCTAATCATGAAGTACCCTTAATACCTTCTACATTAGGAAAAAAGTATCCGCTCTCAACATAGATGCAGGAAAAACGATAAGAATTGCTTTACGGAGATAAAAAAGGCGCTTACGGAAAAAACGGTTGAATCCTGTTCACCTTTTTATGTATGCCATCCAAAGAATGGATTGCCTGTGACATTTTGTAGCACTATTTTACATTGTCAAATGTATATTTTTTGTTTTAAAAAATTCTTTAGTGTTTTCTATCGCTGAAATTAAGGTTATCGTGCATTGAAAGTTGTTCGGAACAGGATCACTGTCTCTTGTTTACGTTCCAGCAAGCTGTTCTGCGAAATATACTGGACATTCCCGCTCTCCTGTGGCCCTTTTTCAAAATAGTGAAATGGAAACGTGAAGATGAGGCAAGTTTGAAAACTTTTTAATTTTGATTATTTTTGTCAACTGGATTAAGGATTGATTCAGTTAATTAATATTAAGCTTACCTGAATACAATTTCTCTCTTTATGGTGAACTCTATCGATTATTATGAGAAATTAAGCTGTATAGTTTAGGCTTAGGCCCAGTGCTTAGCCTTTCTTTCGTTATAGGAAACTAAAAATTTAAATACCTCCAAACCGTTTTGTTTTGTTTTGAAAACATTCCGTTTTTTAGTTCTGTGTTCTTCATTTGTTAATTGTATAATAAAATAATGTATCGTATCTAATGATAGACCCCATTAGTAGCTACAGTGTATGAATAGCTCTTAATCATTCTTGCAGTCATTATGGCATCCGGACAGAGGCTTCTATCAGATCTCCTTGGAATTACGAATGTAGCAACACAGTCTTTGTCAGTCACAAGAGTAGAGAACCAGATTGGCAGTAATGGTTATGGTTCAATTGTGAATGACAAAGAAAGGAAAGAAGATTATAGGGTAAACTCTGAAGCCCCCAAAAGTGTAGATGAAGAAAACCAAGTTACTTTTGATCCATTTAATGATGGTAACAAATCCATGTCTGTAAGTGATGCATTTGATGAAAGCCGTTCTACTGATGTCAAAGTGCCAGTAAAGTTATTGAGGGAAATCAATCAAAATGCTTCTGTTTCATCAAGAGATGTGTCATCTAATGATTCTTCTGAAAGACTTCCAACTCCTGAAGCAACAGGTGTCAACTTTTACTTTCTAAAGTTGCTTTGTATCAACCAAATAACCAAATTCCAAAAACCAAATTAATATTTTTCTATCAATCTTTCTTTGTTGTAAAATTGTAAAGACCAAAATAACAGAAGTGGTTACACTGTTGAGTTGAAACATGGTCCAGTTAAGAACTTTAGACTTTAGATTGGATTCAACAGAATTTCTAAAAGTTTGAATGTTTGTATTTTCTTTTTGAACTAGAAGTATATAGTTGTCCTGGACAATATAGTCAAAATTTAAAATGTTTTAGATTGTTCTTGTTAGCTATTATTATTAGAAACAGGCCTTGGACTGAGCAAAATCAAGGAACTCCATAAAACTAGCTCCTAAGAAACTCAACGCACTCTATTTCACATTTCTGTGCAAAATTGCTGTTTGGAAAAATTTGCGATTTTTTCTCAATGAAAATGATTCAAACGATATAGTCCAAACGAAAATGATGCATTTTAAAATATCATAGCAATTTTAACTGATTTAACTCTCAAAATTGTTTTCATACATTTTGTATTTACAATGCATGGAAGGTAACTTTGTTTACTCAAAAAGGTATTCTTCTAGATGTGGCCTTTTAAGGAACAAGATATAAAATCTATTCATCAAAAGATTAGTGGTATAAACTCTTGTAAAAATCTTATAAACCAAAATATTTTGGTCATTTTAGAAAATTGTTTCAGCTTTATTAAAATTATTTTCAAACAAAATTTGGCTTCGGTGCAGTATCTTAGTTATCGTTACACATTTTCAGGCGCACACAATCATCCTCCATTGCTATATTTAGGTGCACTCTAGGTGCTCTATTGAGCACCTTTCCGGGCAAGGCCTGTATAAATTACTATTAATCTAGTACAAAATTGACCATCATAGGTCCATTTTAGCACAACTTAGAGTAGTCACAGTAGAATTATTTGCTGTTGTATTTGGTATTATTTTTGCAGCAATGCACATTTAAACTCACTTCTTATTACAAGCTAAAGTAAACTTGACATTGGTTGGTCATCTTTGTCTGAACCAGCATTATGCCTTTGATTCCACTAAGAGGCATTCATAAATTAATTGGCCTATTTAATCTGATGAAAAATTGCAACCAGCATCACACTTCAACTTAGTATCCTATAACTGAAGCAATTTCAATTCAAATGAGTTTGTTTGCAGAAATAATATAAAAATTCATGCTATGCCCTTAAATTGTTCAGTGGATTAAACTATTAGGATGCCTCTGGAAGATTCATGTTTTTTCCATAAATATTCATGTTTAGTCACATAATTCTATAAATGACTAAATGCTGTTTTCATCACAATTTTGCAAAATTATATGCTATTACACTAACCTTGTCAATTTTTTACTGCAAAAATGCTTTTTTTCTTGAACGATCATGTTCTTTTTTCTGAAGATTTGTTGAAATATGGGGTATTTGTGTCATCTTCTGATTTGCAAATGGATGCATCTGCCCCACAAACCTTGGCTGACAACAAGAAACATCAAAATGACAGAGGGAACTTGCAAGAGTACACAGTGAAGGTAAACACAATTTACCAATTGATCCCATAACAGAAAAACCTATACTAAAATCATTGTCTTTCATTTTTTTCTTCTTAATATTGATATTTCTGGTCTTTCAGAGTTTTCTCTTATTGAGTCATCATTCCTCTTTATTAGTTTGCAAATAAACAGTTGATTTATTTTTTGCGTTTTGTTCCAAATTTTTATAACAATTTATTGACATTTTAGGTGAGTGGTGGGCTGAAGCAAGGAACAGAGAAGCTGAATGCAAAGCAAGATACACCAGAACAAGCAGGTAAAGTCAGACTTTGATTATTTTCTTAACTTTTAAATCAAGAACAGGCTGCATGATTGTAATCGTATAAAAGTCTGTTGCTTCAAACTTAGACATTGTTTTTAGCAAAGTTGTATTTTAATTAGGTGGGAAACTCTTAATTTTCTATATCATAATAAATAATAATTAAAAAGTGTCCTGTTCTGAATTCCACAGCATGTACAACTCTGCCTTTACAGCATGAAAGGCTATGTAACAGAGCAGGAAACAGTAATTCTATTCTAACTAAGAAAATATCCCAGTATTTTTGTTCGCAGTGTAAATTCACTATTTATCTTGGTTATTCAAATGTTTCCACACTTGCAGATACAAAATTAGACTTTATAGCATTGAAAGTGTTAAGCAAAATTCAAGAAATTTGCCCATTTAAAATATTTTAGCTTGCAAGTGTTTGTATACTCTTTGGCTTGGAAGTATGCTCTTTATATAGTCATATCAAATGCTGCTTGAAAAATGTTGACCTGTTAAGATATTGAAACGCTAAATGCTGTGCTTTATTTAAATTGTAACTTAAGCATATTTAGCTGTACCCTGTAATATTGTACTATTTGCTATCCACATACCCCACAATGTTCAAGATGGGCCTATGGCTGGCCCTAATAAACCAATACCCTCAGTGAAAATTCCTGTCTATTGTGTGCCAGATGCCGATTATATAGGGCCTTGTTATGAGATTTACTTTTCTGTTAGTTCAGTTTAAATGAATAACAAATACCAATCATGCGTTCCAATCATGCTTGAATCATAACATGTTACGGAGATATATTTGCAGAAATTAAAGTCTTTATTACTTTGTAGAGAAAGAGATTTTAGTGTTGCAGTTTCCACAAGGTCAGAAGAAGACTGTTCTGCAAGAGAAATTTAAGAACAGGTAAGCAGACTGACCGAATTGAGGTATTCTTGTATCAGATTCAAGAGACTGAATTTCATGGACTATGGAAATTTATAGTGGTTATAACTAATAGTAATTGTCTGTGTGAATTTCTCATTATCCCTCAGGTATAACAAATACTTGTAATATCACCTACAACAAATGTAATATTATTAGTGTACCATATTAAGCTGGAGGATCTGAAGAAAGAAAATATAGAGTAACCCTCTCCAATTTGACTCGGTTTGCTTTGTTATTTTTTCAATAGCAGCGGTTTGAAAATGATTTGAAAGATGTGTTAATAAGGTTATTCTTTATAGGAAGAAACAAAGCATACTTCAGTACTTTACTTCGAGTATTAAGGTCCTATTATTGCCAGAGGAAAATTTTCTGTTTATCTTTAGTCAGAATCTTACGTTTGTACTCCGAGAAGTCTCTGGCAAGTCTCAGACATAAAGTATGCCTGGTTTCCGCTTTTACTTGATATTTTAATCTTTTTTAGAAACTTACCAATTATTTTCTTTTTGTTCAGCATTTTTATGAAATAATTCCAAGATTTATATCAATGCCATATTATTCTTGTAGGATGCAGAATTCTGCCCCTGTTAAGAAGGCAGTGTTGCCTAAGATTGTTGCAAGTGAAAGAAGTGGAAATCAATATCCATTAAGAGACACCAAATTCGAAAGTCATCCACCCACAAAGTCTGAAGGAGCTGCAATGCAACCAACTTCTGCTAACGATGCAGTATCTTTTGCAGCCATAGCCACATCAACAGCTCTTACTCCATTTTTGCAAGTAAGACCTTCAGAAATGTTTTCCTTCTTTTCTGTAATGTTGCTTACGATGTATACATTTAAATATCCGTTGTTCGACCGTGCGGCTATAATTATTTGAGTTGATTCAAAGAAGATGATTGAATAAAATTAATAGCCATGAAGACTAAGATAAAACGTTTCAGGCCTAACCCTTTATTAGTGATGATTCGTATAGTTCAGAAAATCTACATTCTGATTATCATTTAGGACCACCACCCTCAATAAAGCCCTTCGAATATGTTACCCTAGTATTCAGAATGTTACCCTAGTACTCAGTATCGTGCCCTCGTACCTAAGATAGAACCCAGCGGTCCTTAAAGGAGCTTCTGGTGTGCTGGATGCACATTCTCCTTTCCAAAGAAGCAGTTGCCTACAAACAGTTGTCTGGACTCGACAAATACGGAGAAATCAAGTTGTGCTTAACTAACTTTTTCTCAGAATACTTCACATGAAGTCAACACTGCTAGAATCGGTTGTCAATTGTCATTAATTGACTGAACAGTATTAAAAATAAACTTTGGTATTAAATTAGGTTTTTTGTCACTTTTAACGGCATTTGACCTGCACGAGAGAGAAACAATAGTTTGAAGTTTATCCAAAAAGTTTTTTTGCAATACGCAGAAATCGCAAAACTCGAATACGACTCGAATACGTGTACATTGCGCCTCTGTGTAAATTTTAAGTTATAGCGAAAAATAGACTTTAATTAACTTAGAGAAGGACATGAGCCTTTTTTATCTGCTCATTTTTCCTACAGATCCAAAATGCTCTTGAAAGTACGATTTCAAATCTGGTAAACACTATGGGAATGGCACATGAAGCTCAAGACAAATTCAAATCTAGGTTACAAGAAAAACGCTATGAAGAGCTTGAAAGCAAAATAATCGAAATTCTTGATAAACGATTTGCGAATTCTGGGAAAGAAGAGCACAGAGTGATTCAACGAAACCAAGAGGATAAAGACAAGGTGTGTAATCCTGTCTACATTGATGGCAAGTGCATAATAGCATTGTTGTTTCAGAATTAAAATATCTGCATTCCAATTCCTGTCAACATCGCCCCCTCAAATGTTTTGCGGTTATCGGCTTAGTTAATTTTTTGATCTAATGGATTTACAGCCCAAGTCAGCTCTTGACCTTGTTGCTTAGTGAAATTTTATTTTGCGGTCATTTTCTGCGCAATCAGTCTTTTTAAGTTTTTTCCGAAAAGTTCGCAAACATGAGTCAAAATTTGGTCATAATGTTCGCTTGAGGGAGCGTTGTTGATACCTGACGTTGATGATAAATATGGTTTTTCTAATGTTTGTAATTTCTCGTGGGCTCTTTCTTTGGATACTTGCGTCATTTCGGCACTTCAATCTCCCGAAAATTTAAGTCAAATACTTTTATTCTTCTGTTGAAGAAAAATGTTGGTTTAAACTTTTAGTTTTTCAGTGGATTTTTAGTAAGACATAGTTCATTGTGCTTTCAGGGTTGCAGTGCTAGGGAAAAAGGGGGTCTTAAGTATAATATTTTTTTGAAAGCAATAGCAGGATATAGAAAATGGGCTACTTTTCAGCATTTACAAAGTTGGCTCAGCCCCTTAATGCCCCTCATTCATGGTGATAATGACGTAGTTCTTCATTTAAACGTCTAAATTCTTCTTGTTCTTAGATTTCGTTGATTGCCGGGAGAAAAGCTTGCAAAAGCTTACTAACGCATAACATTAACTCATCGACATAAACGCTACATCTTTAACTTCATTTCGCCAACTAAATCGCATTTGTGCAGGCTTTCCGGTAGCTTTTCTGTTGCCAGTGGCAAAAAATAGGGTCTATATTGGCGTCGTTAAATATGTTATTGCTTTTGTCAATGTTGGGAAGCCTTGGGAAGCCCATCAACATAATAACTTCAAATTGTTTGTGTCGATGGTTAAACGAAAAATAGCAGGTCTCTATCGTTTATTATTTAATGTAAAAATCTTGATATTACTTTTTGGGGCCCCTTGATATTAAATCCGGGACCTAGAACCATCTGCTTTTCCTTCTCCCCGCTTGTCCAGCCTGCATTTGCACTCATCCTGCGTACATATGCTATCCACCTACGTATTTGGTTTTCTTTCGCTTGCTTGTGTTGGCTTTTCTTTGACGTGTGTGTCTTTCAAATTGCTTTCAATAGTCTAAAATGATATTCATTTTCGGCTGTACAGCAGATTTTTCAGCTTAACGATTCCAATCAAATTGCAGGTCGTTTTCGTACTATATTTCCACCCATATAAACAGCACTAATGGCGATTAATTTTTATCGGTGTTTTACAGAATAGAGAATATTTCGTTACATGTTGAAAGTCTCACTGAAAGTGTAAGTCAGTAATAGAATCATTTTGTATCATAAGATAAATACTTTTGTAACATCAGCACATATGGAATAAAATTGAATCTTCTTGTATATATATAAAAAAGAACCATTTGCCAATGTTAGTGTAGTATTTTAAAAAACCTTTGAGTTTACAGTTTCGAGTTTGTATACCTGATATATCTGACAATTGCATTATCTGAATTTTGCAGATGACATCGATTCAAGGGCCGATTCCAACCAGTTACGTTGCCCCCATTTCTCAGCCACCGTTTGTTGCTCAGCCCCTTTTTAAGGCTTCATATCCAACATATGACAGCGAGCTACAGATGATTCCAACCCGAGACGTGGGTAATTCAAAGAAGACTTCTTCCCCTATTCTGCCGACTGGTATTCATCCAGGATTTCCAGTCAGTCTTTTGCCTCAACCTGTGCAAAAAGAGCCAGCATACATCCCTAGAAGCCGTCCAGTGCCTGCAAAAATTTTTGATAAATCAACCAGCCCTGATAGCGATATAATGCATTTGAAAAATGCGAAAACCCAGACCAGCTCATCGGATTCAAGCCTTTTGTCCGATAAGTCACTCCTAGAGACACCATTACCTCGAAGTAAAATTCCCGTCCCATTCTCAAGGAATACGCCCAAAAGTGCTGCTTTACGTAAACAAAAGGCAAAACGTTCTTCAGAACATCGTAAGTAATTTTTAAGTAATCTGCAGTTCCTTCAGTATGCTGCAAAGTAGCATCACGTCTTACTTTTTATTTGTCTAATTTATTGGGCTTTTACGTTTAACTATTTCATAGCAATTTATACGTTTTCCTTTGCATTTGTCTTTATATTTATGTTTGTATTTGAACAACCTGAGGGAAAATTTTCTTCTGTTAAGGACATCTGTTAGATAGCTAGTTGGGTATCTGTTAATGCCAGTTGGTTTTCTGATCTTAATCGTTCTATGGTTCTTTACAGTCTGGTTCACCAATATTGTATCTTAGACCTTCTTTGCACCAGTGAGAGATTCCTAGTTACGAAATGCTTAAAATACACTTTCGATTTTCAATGTATGTTACATTTTTCAATAGACGTCTTATTGTTTGATACTGAAGGGTAATTTCTGTCATCTGTTCTAAAATTGAGGCCCTTTCAAGATTTTGCACCCGCAGTGAAAAGTCCTTGAAAAATGTTTTGCACGGCAAGGCCTTCTCATATCCTTAAAACTGCCTTCTTACTAGGCAGTCGGTGACAGAAGTAATGCGGCAAATTTATAGTAGATCCGCTAAGATGCCTAAAATCCCTTTTTCGAGAGTTTGCTGCCTTGCCAAATTAAGATTCATATTAGATGGATCTTCGTAAAAAAGATGACGCGGTAAGCGAATAAAGCCTACACATCGTCAACATCTCTCTGCAGAAGCTTTAGTCTTTTTTAAACGATTGTCTTTATTTTAAGCATTCCTTGTCTTTCTTTCTTGAGGTAACGAACTGCTAAAGAGGATTTTAAAAGAAGACAGGCACGCAAAAGTGATCGACAAAGAAAACGCTAAGCCGACAGTTTCTAGTAACTGCCTAAAAAGAGAAGATACGAGGTTTGTTTTCAAATGTTATTGTTCAAATGCATCAGTTAACCTGCTTGCTTCAATGAGCCAAGTCCTGAGTTTTTTTTATAAGAGTGGGGCATTTATTGAAAAAATGTTCTTTGCAAGGTTTTAAATTGTTTTAAAATGATTCTTTTCAAATCACTCAATGCTAAAATGCATGCTTGGCCCTTACGCTCACTGTTGTTATCAATAAGGGCAGGTCGAAAGTTGCTGATGAATTTCTCAAAAAGCCATTGATTACAGTTATTCGTGGTTTCCTTTTATGTTTTGTTGCTGCGAAAATCCGACTTATGCAAAAATCCGACTTATGTATCAATACAGAGCCTTTAGTATTGAAGTAGTTGATTAAATCCGTAGAAGTATGCTTCTGCATAGGTTGTTGTAGTTTGATTCCGCCTATTTGCATCAATTCCAATTGATAGACTCTCCTCCGCGTCCGAATCTGCCATTTCATAGGGATCTTCAAAGGAAAGGGGGAATTATTTTATGATGATATTTTTTTTGACATTGCTCTAAAAACGACATGAAACGCGAAATTGCTTGTTTTTGCACTTTGCCAAATAAGAGCCCAGGGCATTTATTTGAGGATAGGCTTTTGTTTAATAAATTTGGTTAATAGGAGGCGTTTATTGGAGAGAGGTCGTTTAATAGATGAAATATGGTATTTGGGTTTTGAAAAGAATGATGGCATCGTGTTCAATATGATATTGTTTTTTAAGGAACCACTTGATTTTTACAGTTTCAACTTTCATTTTCATCAGTAAGAGCACAAATAATTTAATTTGTATTGAATTGGTACAGTTTAGAATTTCTAGATTATCTGACAACAAACTCAATTCATTATTTATAATTTCCAATACACACATTGAATATTTGAGGGTCTGGAGTTATCTAAATTTATTCATCTTTTGAAGTTGATTTTTTTAATAATAATGTAAAGTAAAACTGTTAATCTCTTGATCTTTTTCAAGGAGGGCCTAAAATTGGTAATTGTAATGTGGAACATTTTTGGTATTAAGGCGAAGTAGTTTTTTGCTTATTTTCATGCATAAAATCTTTTGCCGATCAAATTTCCATTAAAAAAAATTGGTAAAAATTGACTCTGTCTGAATGAATTAATTGTATACCACAAATTACGATGTCTTAGGACTTTGAAAAGGTGTTTTCTCTTTGTCACAATTATAAGGACTGAGCAGTAGGATTCCCCATCGTTCTTCTTCACCTTTTAAAAGCGATATTTTTGCCTATGAATTTGCTATTAGGAGGTTTGCCAATTTTTTACCTCAATTTTTTCACCCAACGTGTTTTTACCCTCGGTATATGGTAACACTCCACAAGTTGCAGCTAGAGCCACTCATTTAAGCACACGCAAGTAATTTCCATTCATATCATTTTTTCCTCAACTTATACTATATTCATACCGTCCAGTTTAGTACCGTCCTGTCCCACACATCAAAGCTTGTATAACCATCTTCATCATTTGATTTTAAATCTTTCTTTCCAATGACCGAATCTTTGATCTTAACATTGCAACTAGATGCCCGTACAAGTTGTTCTATCTCTATGTGTTCAAGGGCTTGAGTATAATGTCAAGCTTAATCACACCCATAAAACATTTTGCTTCACTGTTTTTTGGGTAACATTTTTGGCACATTTGTCAGACGACAGTTGATCTGTTTTCTGGACTATTATAAAGCAGATCAGCTTCTAAAAAACTTTTTTGTCCAAATTTTCTATTTTTTGTCCAAATTACATATTTGTGTTACTCGGTATGTATAGGAAAGCAGTATTAGAAATGACTGGAATATCTCCCTGACTTGGAGAAGATTACCCTGGGTACCAGACTCAGTCGGGTATCATGGTAGTAGAAGATAACCTCGTAATCAACAAAGTCAAACTTGATAACCACTGATCTAACCAACGAAACCGCTTATGTAACTTGGTTTTTCTGAGTTGGTGTTACCTTGGTGATCATCAACAGGATGGCTGTTATTCAGACTCCGGGTATTGTTAACCACCGTAGTAGTTATACTAAATACAAATACTTTTGTCCATGGCCCACGTTTCTTTATTTACCGCCCTACAGGATTATATGGCGTGGTGGTAAAGTCTATTTTTGTAATAAATAAACTTCAGGTGGGTATCCATATTTGGGTTTGTGGGTCACTTGCTAAATTCTAGAGATTTTTGTGAATGTCACACCCCATCCTGCTGGGTCATAATAGTAATTAAGCGAGCTAACATTTCCTGTTTCTGGAACCCTGTCCAATACCTATCAAATACGGAAAGGAAACCAAGGAAATTTGATAGGAAAGTTTCTATCAAATTTCATAGTACGTCGTATCCCTTCTTTAAGGTTTCACAGGCATATACTCTTTGAGGCAGGGGCTCCCCTTACCCCCAAGCACTTGGAGGATTTGTATTGTGAAAGTAGACCTCTAAAATAGAAATATAGACATTTTGGTTTCTATTTGGTTTGGTTTCTAGGTAAAAGAAACTTGAAGCCGAGTTATTCTTTGGGGCATCGCCAGCAGAAAGGATAGCCTATATAGCATGGACCCCCAGCTTGACTGTACGAATGTATCATCATCAGGTACCATCTTCTATCAGAAGGTTGGCTACCATGACCCTCCAACTATCCCAAAATCTGAGTTTTGGTTTGTTGTACGGATGTAAAGATATATATAAATTTTATTTTTGGTCCCCTTTTGTTATCGAGCTAGGGCGCCCCGAATTGCGTTATGCCAGTTTATCACGGAATTTTGCGCATTTAGAAAGCTCAAAGAAACAAAAGACAAAAATATAGCTGTGGAGGGTAAAAATGCTCTTGGGAATTTCAAGGGGTGAGACTATTAAGTCCATCGCAGAGCCAGGACCTGCCTTTCGAAATTTCCTTCTTTTTTTGCAACTCAACGGTAAGGCATTTGAAAATCAGTGCTAAGCGAAGACCATTGCAAAAAACTATTGATAATTAAATATTGTGTAGGGATCAGTGGGGGGAGGAAAACCGTGTAAACTTTAAACAGTACTAATATTAGCGTCCTGATAACGCGTGGGCGACCACGAGGCTATTCATGCGTTCGAGTCGTCTTAAAAAGGATGTAGTAGATTTCTATGTTTTGTCGAAGGAAGAACCAGCATCGTTCATTTATCAAAGAAAAAATTTACTCATAATTTGTTCTACAATCATGGCCTATTTATTGATATCGGCTTCCCTAAATCAATTGAACGGAATTGAATTACTTGAAATATGCTAATTAAGCACGACCAGCAACTGGTGTCTAGATTTTATGCAAATTACGAAGATGCTCGTAGAAAACCCAGACCAGTAGCCGTGGGTGTACTTGCTAGCCCCGCTGCGAGCCGTACACCTGGCCTGTTGCAGGGGCCTAACAGTTTTTGGGCTAAAGGGGGACGGCCAATATAATCTGTAGATTTGTTAGAGTTTATTTTCAAACTACCCTGTGTATTTTGTGAGATAGTATCGCATATTCGATAACGAGAGACAGTCTGCAAAAAATTTCTGAGAATTTTCCCCAAAAGCCTTGTTTACCCCCTGCAACTAATTTCCTCTCGCTACTGCCCTAAAAGTGGAAGTTTTCTTTATAAAAGATGTAGGACAAAATTTCGTTAAATAATGTACACTCTTTTTATATGTGAAGGGTGAATCACTCCCAAAAAGGTGTACGAGATTTAGAGATTTGAAAAGCCTCGTGTTAAAGGAAAGGATTCGGAGAGTTTTCATTAGATTTTTGGATTTCTTAAAAAAATTTTAAAGGTTTTAATATTTCATTGTTCAAGACAGGACCTTAAAAAGTTTGTCATTTGAACGAAAATTCTGCGATTTTGGAAGTTTATTGTAACAACAATGCATTTTTGGTGACATTTTGATCGAACAGTGCACGGTTACAAGTTTGCTCTTTGTGCATTATACTTTTCGGAGTGATTCACCCCTCGTTTATGAGAACAATATTGTAAGAACTTGGACTCGAGAATAAACTTAAATTAAGCTGAGGCTAAAAGTACACGTTGACTTTAAAGAACCTTTTATAGGAAACCTTGCTTCCCACTATGAAATAACGTGAGATATTTCTGAGATAAATTGAAAATTAACTCACGATCTAAATTCAAGATAAGTATGGAAATGCCAGAAATCACATTTTATTTGAGTCTTGCAGCTATGGCGGGCTTCTTACAAGAACAGCTTAGTTTACTTCTGCTTTTAAGAATACGTAGAAGGAAAATATTTTTTTGCTGGAAGTACCGTTCGCGATCTGCGCCAAGGTTTTCGGTACAGAAAATCTGCCAAAAAAGATATACGTTTGGTGAATACGACCACTTGGAACAGGAACTTCGAAATGAGAACATGCTTCTCTTATTTCACAATTGATTTTTTTTAGTAAAGAAACTGTTTTCGTCATCTAAAGTAATGATCAGTGCAAGTGCGTTGCGTAAGAACAGCACTGCAAATGGTAGCACATTCCCCTCCCACGCATCGGCTTCTTTTGATAAGATGTTATTAACTCATGAGTTTGAAATAAAACAGTTTTGTTTCCAAGCTCATGAGATAACGTGAGTTAACATGAGGTAATTTTCATGAGATAATTTTTAATTAGCGTTTCCACTATGAGATAATTTTTAAACCATGTCAGATCACAAAACTATCTCAAATTAACCCACGTTAACTCATAGTGGAAACCAAGCTTTGAAGAACGCAGAAACAGGATGGGGCGTGGGGTGACACCCCGTTGGAATAAAATTCTATTGCAAAATACAAGGAGATTTTTGCCATGTTGGGGGTGCTTCGATGGCTTATTTTATCGCCCTACCTGGGGTTTTGAACCCCCCCCAACACCTTTAGGATCACCCCTGTGTCAAGGAGTCTTGAGCACAGGATACTCCCCTGATGACGAGGATAGGCATAGGCCATCGAGAATGTAGACTGGTTCCGGTGCATCTATTTGCTCTCATTCCATGTTTCTTTTACATGCTGACGAGACCGCAGACGAGAGGTCATGTGTTAGCCGACTTTGATCACGAATAAAACGCTGATTCATTGGTTTGCAGCAGCTTTTGATTTGTCGATTCGGCTTGGTCCGTGATGTGCACTGCTGAACTTTGTATTGCACGTCATCTGTTATTTGTACTGTTCTGTATTTTTGCCACTCCTCTTTTTGCTTTGTTGTGAATGGGAGTACTCACTATTGTTAACGGAAAGCCACAATGTCCGGGTGTTACTCCAGTTGTTTAATGAAATCTGTCGTCATTTGTGTTTTATGACCACCTACTCTATTGTTTAGGCGCCCTTATTCTACACACTCAGCAGATCTGGTTCTGCCGGAGGTAAGCTAGAGTAATTTACCGTTTGTATGGTAGAGAAGAGTTAGGTGGCTGGAAAGTATTTTGAAGTATCCCTAATTAAAAATCTAAAACTAGCCTCATTCCTCGGAAAGAATGCGCAGTTAATATTCAGCATTGATAATCTAAGCTTCTGTGTTTTAACCAGAGCTACACTGTACTTCTTATTGTCGAACTTTCAATATAGCTTTGAGACCAGCCTGGCCTAGATACATACCTGGATTAAGACCACGGACCTATCGGTCCAAGGCTGTTTCACTTCTCCGCTTGAGCGTGGGGATTTGAAAAGGAAAAAAGGAACTGAATGCAAAGTGCTTTTGGAATGTTACAGGCACAATAAATTCATTCAGAATTTTTTGCAAGTTGAGTGCTAGGGACTTCGGAGTTTTCAATGACCGGAGATGCAAGTGCTGCGTCTGTGCAGTTGCGTGTCCCAACAAAGTATCAAAAATATTTGAAAATTGCCCCTATCTAAAGCATGGACCGAGATACCGGGGGGCCGGGGCCCCCTAAAAACTCAAGTATTGCAAGCAAAATACTCCTATTTTGTAAAATATTGCTGTTTTTCACTTGTTTATGAGGGCTGCCTCCCCCCCCAAACAAAAAGTTGTATCTCGGTCTTTGATCTAAAGCGCGAAGCGGATCTTAACCCATGCTTAACTGCTTTTTCACATAACAACTGCAGGATACCGACGACGGAGGGTGCCATGTCCCACTTCTTTTCAAAGCAAAGTAGCTTTCTGCAATATATTTGGTTATGGGTCTCCCCCCCCTCTACTGTCCAATTTGCATCGCAGCCTATGAAGGATACCGTATTATGGCAGTCAACAGTCATCAGACACGTTGAGAAGTATGTTTGGAAAACCCGTCATTTGGTGGCTGTTAAAACAATGTTTACAAGACGCCTATTATTCTAATGACGTCATGCAATACCCCCGTGAGGTTCATCTGATGCCCCGGCATGAATTAGGATTTCCCAGGCTAGCGACAGAGGAAAGTATTTTGTTGGCACAGTTGGAGATCTCAATTTGAAAACCTGTAATTTGAAGCTTATCGTCTGAATTCTCTCAGCCTGTTCCAGAAATTCGAGATTCACTAACTGCCGGGCGTTGGCAACCAAAATTCATTGAAAATATTGTTCATTAGAAAATGCCCCTTGTTATTCACAAAACATAGTCTATTCAAACTAAACGAGGAAAATTTAAATTCCTAATGTGATTGTGTCGTGTTTTATTTCGTTTAGCTGTCGACTTAGAGTAAAGACTTGCAATATTTTGATCCGGCCTAGATTGGCGATCAGCGAAGCGTGGGCGTGTTGTGTGACGTAATCTTATTGTGATTGGTCATGGGCAGGTGACGAATGTCGTATTGAAAACTTTGCGTCAGAGTTGTAGTATGTTGTACTTGCAGGATGAAATTACCTCGGACTTGTTTGGTGCAGATCGTCCCTTGAATTTGATTTTTCTCCAAACAAGACAACACCATTACAGACTACAGTAAGCCAACAGCTATCTTCGGCAAAGAGCAATTTAACATCGTTTTATTCTCGTCTACAGCCAATGTTGAGTGGTTGGAGTGATTTTCTTACGACCATCGCCGTGGCCTTTCCCTGCTTCTCTTTGGAATTCTTGAATATTCGCTGAACGAATCTTCTGTGAAATCGTTATTGTGGAGTTATTCGTTATTTCGCGACTGGAGTTTTATGTCTAGGAACTTTAAAGTTGCAAATATGGATGGAAGAAATGAGCAATAGCAGGATGCAACGAGTTCACTGTTATTTGTGCGATTTGCCGCGGACGCCATGGGCGATTTTGCATGAATTTACCGAACCTATCTGTCGAGGTTGCTGTAACTATGAAGGGCCCGATCGCATAGAGGAGGTTATTGAATATGCCAGGTATCTTCGCAAAGGATGGGACAATCAAATTCGTGCTATAAAATCCCAGTCAGTAACATCGAATGGGACGTCTGCAATTTCAAGCCCTAGCCCAGGAAGTCATTCGAGTAACAACGGCTCCGGAGTCGAGAATGGCCCTCCGAACCTAAATAATAACGGAATACCTCCTTCGAACAGTTATCATCACATGCATATGCATGCCAGAGGTTATCCCGGCAAAGTTAATGGAGGTGAAGAGGAGCATATTATTTTAAAGCATGAAAATGGAACGCCGGTCCCCGGTGACCCTTATTCTAAACGTTTTTTTCCTGGACATCCAGGTGATCATCAAATGTTTATTCCAGGCGAAGTAGACGACCCAGAAAAAAGGCCACCGAATTTTCCTGTCAGGCCAAAACATGATATGCCAATGCCTGTGCCAAGAAGGCATCCCGAAGTTAGTGAACTGCCACCTCATGTTGTAAAGAATTTGGACATATTAAATGGATGCGTACCGTTTGATGTACGATTTAAAAAGGACCATTCATTGATCGCTCGTGTCTTCTCTTTTGAAGTTGTTCATAGAGCGGGAGGCGGCGGTTCAGATTTTGAGGTGAAAATGTACATGGAATATCCGAGAAATTCGGGTATAATATATCAAAGTGCGTCTGCGGTTACTAAAGTCATGTACCAAGACTCTTCAAAGGAGGTAGGCAAAAATCTGTCATCAGGATTCAAATATCTTGAGTACGAAGTTCAGGGCAAAGAGAATGATTGGAGATTGTTAGGAGATTTTCTACCGGAATCAGTTCGATTCTTGAAAGAGCCAGTCTCGTTAGATGCCCTGCCAGTGCGTTTGAGTGAGCAAGCATTCCCTTACTCAGCCAGTCTAAACAATGCATTCAAAGTGAGAAAAAGAAAAATCGAGGAACCCGACCCATTTCCGCCCCCACAACCAACTAGAGCACCAAGGCGCACTTATAAAGAGCGCGAAGATGAGCAAATCCAGAGGCACCTATGGATGCAGTCTCAGGTTGACGCTTTGAGGCTTTCAATGGCACAGTTAACCAACCCTTTGTCACATCCTGGTGTCCATGGCATATACAGGCCAGCATTAGGGGGTCCTCCTGTTGAACATGGGCGTCCACAAGCATCAGTGCCTCCAGTGGCAGCAGTATCAAGTGCTTCACCCACTCACATCCATCAACATCCACAGCATAATGGACCTATGCCACCAAGTCCCAGAGCTGCACCATGGGGTCTCCCATCTTCTATGGCAGCCTTGATTAGTGCTGCAGGTAGTGTGGAACCAACTAGTGCCAACTCTCAAGTTGTTCCTGGAAGTCAATCTAATAGTAGCAGTAATAGTGCCAATCCACAAACATCAGAGGCTGCCCCTAAAAGTAAACCTGCTGAAAAAGAGCAAGAAGAGACTAGTACTCCCATTGAAGGAAAAGCTGAGACTTCTGAAAGCACCAATAGTCCACTTTCAGGGACACTTACAGCCAGCACAAAAGGAAGACAAGGTACCAAAAGTAACCATCTTAAGTGCAGTATTTGTGGTGATCTTCTGGAGGACACCCATTTTGTGCAATGCCCCTCTGTTGGAAATCACAAATTTTGCTTTCCTTGCTCAAAAGATAGTATCAAAAAGCAGGGCTCAGGAAGTGATGTTTTCTGTCCTAGTGGCAAACGCTGTCCTCTAGTTGGTAGTAATTTGCCATGGGCCTTTATGCAAAGTGAAATCCAGACAATACTGGCAACTGAAACTAAAGTCAAAGAAGAAAACAGAGAGAATGGTGAAACATGACAAGTTGTTGGCATCAACTGAAGCTTGTTTGCTTTTGGTATGGTATATATATACATATTACTAGATTCTTAAGTAGGCAGTATAAACTTTCATTTTTATCATTTACAGAAAAAGGTAACCATGTGAATATTAAATCTAAACTAGTTGAAAGTGCTCTTTGCCAGACAAATTAGAATAAATAGACCTAGCTGTATCTGATATATGAAAGATGTAATGTAAATATTCCTTTGTTTCAAAAGGTCAATTAAGTAAACATTACAATAGCAGGTTGCTGAGCCAAAAGACAGCGAAAAACATTTTGTAGCAAAGAAAAATAATGAAACATTTGAAAACATTATTACCAATTAGATGTAGCACTTTAAACTATTTTGATTTGTGAAAGAGATAATCTTTCCTTTTTTCAAATCTCAAGGTGATATTGCATATATTAATGTTTGAATAGTTTAAGTATTTGAAAAGGCTTTTCAAAGCTACTGCTATAGTTAAGTTCTTGGCACTTTTTGTTGACAAGGTGCAAAACATTCTCATTGCAAATAGCTCTTATTAAGAATGTTTGAGGAAAGAATTCACAAAAATCAACCATTATAATGATTGCATGTCATTCCCAGTAAAGCCTGCTACTGTTTAGTACATAACATTAGTTGGATGACATCTCAAAGGCTACGGGAATTATGGGACATTAGGCAGAAATTTGTAATTTTGACGCTCCATGTCAGTCTCTGCAAATTGTATGGTTTTTGGTGTTTCTCAGCAGTATAAAAAGACTTAAGTCCAGTAATTTTATGTGGAGTTGGGAATAAGCCATGACAGGGTGCATGGAAGAAAACCATTTTGTACCCTAAACCTATCCCTTAATTCTCAAACGTTTGCTTCATTGACAAGACTAAAAAAAATTAAAATGTCATTGTGACTTTCAACCATAATTTATCTTTGTTTGTTATTTTGTCAAGAACTACAATTTGATTAAACTTCTCATTTATTAAACCCCCTCCCATAATTAAATTTTGACCTTGGATAAAATTCCTCCATTTATTCCCAGTCTCAGAGTTGTTATGATCTTTGTAAGAAGGTTGTGTTACTTACCACCAGAGCCATTTGCAACATAAGAAAAACTTTTTTGCAAGTGGAACAAAAAGTAATTGATTCAAAAGCTATTTATACCATACTTACAGGGCTAGCAACTACCATTGGAAATCAAGCTTTTTGTATTACAGTAAAAAAAAAAACTTGAAGGGCAAGGTCAATAAACCTTTTCTGTTGCACTTATTGATGGCTTCATTTTTCCATTTCCTTGATCAGAATATCTCATTACCTAGTTGAATCTGTTGATTCTTATTCAACCCTAGTACCCTATTATTTCCACAATGGAATGCAGTCACTTCAAATTGCAAGTGAATATCTGGGCAATTTTTACTATTACCTTAGCTTGACATCCTTTTTGTTTTGACAGCTAAATGGCATTGTGGTAGAAAGCAATTTGCATAGGCTAGGAAAGACTGTAGGCTGAAAGGAATAAACTTTGCAATCAACTAAGGAGTGTAGCCTTTGAGCCTTGTAAATTTTTGGTGGGATACATTTTTGTTCCTTAGATGAAAACTTAGGTGTCTTTCTAATGAAATTATCATTTATATCTGCCAATGCTTCATTGCAAAATCTTTAATAGCAACAGACCATCTTAGTTTTTACAACATTTATTATGCATTTATTTGCAAGAATTTCCAACAGTTTAGGAACTTAAAGGTTAAGAATTACTGAGTACCCAAGTCTAGAAAGTGTACATAAAATGGAAATGAATGGAATCTGTTTCATGTTGTTTTCTTTTGCGTTTCATGTGTATCATTTTGTTATAAGCAGGTTTTGTTTCGTATAAACTATTTGTACTTGTAGCTTCAATGTCTGTCAGTGGTGCTTGGAAGTAACTTAGTCAAAAGTATATATCAAAGATTTTTGTTGAAATCTTTTCTAAAAGGTGATAGTAATGTTAAGCAGCTTTGGTACATTCAATATGCTGAGCCTTGATTCTCGATTCTGAGCTGTGATCAGCTTTTAAACCAAGGTTGCTGTACTAGTTCAATTAATCTACAACTGTATTAATTTGTAGCACATAGAGTAGGGGTAGCCTATGCCGAAAGCTTTGGTGGTTGATTTCTTTAGTGGCAACTTCTTTACATCCTTGATGAATTGTTTTAAGACCCAAGATAGGCCCAGAAATATTTCGTTCACATTCAAATCATTCTCAGCCACTCTGTTTATGGTGCTAGGTAGAAAGTAACAATTTATCAAACAAGGAACATAGCAACCATACAACCAACCATTTTAGCACATTTGGGTCTTGCAAGGCCAAAATTTGGCATTTAAGTCATTGCTTTTTTCTTGAATATGTCAATATGGTAAAGGGCAAACCACCTGCCTATGCTTTTGGCTAGGGGCTGAATCTCTCTACGGTTTTATCTCTAGTACTGTTACTGAATAATTACTGGAGAACGGTGCTGATATGTTATTCCTTATTGGAAGTGTATATAAGTATGATTTTCTAAATCAATTAATCATCATTTTAACCATGTATTATCGTCGACAGTCTCGTTTTGGTTGTCGTAGGGTTCTAGATAACAAGGTGCATTTGTGACCATATCTGGTTTGTTTCTTGTCTTTTCACTTTTGTATTCGAGTAGGCCCCTTGGCGTTTTATCGGCTAAAACCAGGATAGCGGTAAATTTCCATAATTAGATTTATGTGGTTCTTGGTATTATTTCTTCAAGCTAGAAAGTGATTATTCACATGACAAAAGACTCAGTTTAATTTATTAATTCGCTCTAAATATTCTGCTGCCAGCTCTGTTGTACACTGTATTTTTATGAAAACCGTTGAATTTAAGTTCAGGCTGGTTGTTAATTTTTCAAAAACTTTGAGGCTGAAGTGCTCTTAAATTATTAGGGCGTAACAAATGCAATCGTAAGCTAATTTGCTTGAGAGAGTGAGCACACTTGAAACTTCACCGACAAAGCGAAGCACGTGCGCAATTTCTAGATGTAAAAAACCCATTGTTTTTGGGATGGAATTTTTAAGTGCTTAACAATTTTGTTCAAAATTACATCTTACATAACCTCAGCTCTACTTATTGTTAATACGCTTCTAACATTTGGCAAAATTTGAGACTCGTGTTTTAATGAAATTGTATTCATAAAAAAGTGTAGTGTATCACCAGTACATGAGGTTCATAGAAGTAGTAGGGCATTAAGTACTACACAAGAAGAGGCTAAGATGATTGTACACTGCGTTTGAGAAGAGTGACGGGGTATGCTTTTGTTGAGGATTTGGGTTGACTTTTTTCCAGATCAGTTTTTACGGCCTAAAAAGAACCGTTTTTGGAGTATTCCACAAAGTGTGTGCAAGTTACAGTTTGAGATTAAAGATGACTTCAATATCGTTTGTGGCTTCTGGTTCAGCAGTGTGGTAATTTGATTCAAAGTAGCACCCAAATAATAATAGGCTCCTGTGCGTCAAGCTGATGTGCAAAAATAAGGTACCAATTTCCTTTTTACAAACAGGGCCTGGCTTTTAAAATTTCGCATCGTGCCACATAAATCTATTGACGTCAAAATTTTTTAAAAATGTGCAAATCTGAGGGGCAATAGCTCTATTTGAGAATCTAACTGGGACAACAAACTTTCTGACCAAAAAAGGTTCCGTGGAGCGGGTTTGGTATATGCTTGACAAGAGTCTCTCTCACAGGGTCAATGGAATACCGTTGTTTTGGAAACAGGAGAAATAATCACAACGACTGAAAATACAGCAAAGCATCAAGGATAAAGTGTGATACAACTGGATCGTTTCGGTTGTCTAAGCCAGGGTTATAGCAGCTTAACCTTGGAATGGTTCATTGGTAATCTTCATAAGAAAAACAATGAAATGAAAATGGATTCAGTTGTTTTCATTGAAATTCGAGTCTCTTTTGTTTCACGACGATTCCGGTGCATAGGGTATATAAGGCTTAATGACGTCACACAGAAGGGGTATTTGTGGGTGATGGTCTCACAATGACAGCCCCTGGGAGCGTTTTGAATAAAGGACGGGTCACATCTTTTTTGTTCTATTCTATTATTCCAAGAGTTTGACGCTTTGAAGTAACAATCAGATCCACGAACTTAAGTTACGTTGCTCTGAATCCATCTTAAACTAGTTCTTGGATTACCGCGTTTTTTTTCGTGCTAGTGGTGGCCTGCTAATAGATTTCGACTTTTTGTCTCAATTGCGCACCTTTATCTTGTTGCATATCTTGCAAAAGTTTTTGAATAATTTGAACGTAATGTCTAGATGATGTAGGAATATTTGAGCTGTGAAGATAGGGGTGGAGAAGCGGAAGAGCCCGTTTCCCTTTCCGCACTCGTAAACCCACCCAACCAACCCTGCCTTCATAAAAACCCTGAATGGTTCCCGTTTTATGTTGATATATTTATGAATTATTTATGAAATATTCACGGGAGGAGACCATCTCAAGTCTCAAAGACCTGTATTTCTGGAACCTCGCTAAAGGGGTACTGACGAAATCCAATGTTCACGCGGTGTTTAGGACAGCATCCACTATAGATTTGGCTTTACTGGCTTGCTTTGCTGTGACGTTTTTCAAAGCGAACTATTATCAGGGTTGCCTAATGGCGGCGTTGATGAAGCCCTTCATCATAATGAAACCAAAAAAAACGTTTGATTACGTTTGACATACGATTAATGTGTAAAAAAAGTTTGAGCTAAACCTAGATATGACGAAATTTTTCTTAAAAGCCGGATTCAATACTTCTTGAATGACATAAGCTTACGTCACCTTGTTGTCCTACGATTTCTATTTCCAAAGGACTAGCCGCAAACTTCCCACAGCATCTCTTCCTATTGACAAAAGCTATCACGGGCGTACGTCGACTTTCAACCAGGGCTGGTATTGTCTCTGGGATAACTGATTGTAGAGAAGTTCAATTCATTACAGTTTTTTTTAAACAAGAACAGTTTTATAAAGACAAGAACGTCAAAATGAGTCCAACGTTAAAACAAATTAAGAACAGACTGATTCTTAGAAACTGTAAAATGTAAGATTTCAAATTTTCAACAGACAATTTTGCGAAATCTTTTTTTTAGATTCCTGTTTCGTTCTAGCTCCAAAAACACTTTTTAATAAGAGAAGACTTTAGAGGCTAAAATCTGCCTAAATGAAATGTAAATTAAGAATATTGATAAGGCTCAAACTTTTGTACAAAGTATTAATCTTAGCACAATTTTTTTCTCACAATTTTTAAAATTCAAAATGTAGAAACCGGTAGGAACATTATAATAAAGATTATCTCATGTTTTGAATGTATCTTAGCCATACTATACGGGAAGTTTTGGGGGTTAAGCATTTTTGTTATGAATCTTTAATTTGGCCTTGCCCCCCCCACTTTCTAACTCGGTTAGAGCCTCTAATAGGTGTTCTTAATTCTCGATTCGTGTGATATTTTACGTCTTGATCGCTGATCCACCATCAGTTGTAGGGGTCACTACTTGGTGACATGGACGTGATCAAGGTATCTAGAAGGCTTATGTTGTTGCATTTTGGTGCTTACATCGCAGTCATTATGCATTGCAAGTGCCTATTGCCTCTGGCGTTTGTTGTGTAACAGATATTTAGTGTCGGCAATAATGTTATTGTGCGGAGAGTTATCAGTTTGGTTGTTGAAAGATTGTTTTTTTCAGCAAATGTTTTTCAATGATGCTCAAGCTCTAACCGCTGACTCCAATAAATACCCACTAATACCTGGATGAATTTTTTAAAATCTCCTTTTTAAATAATAGCCGCATGGGCTAAGATGGAACATATATCATAACCTCCACAGACAGATTGATAAAATCTGTGACAACAGCCTTTTGTTTCTGAGAGTTTATTTTTCTGCAAAAACCTTCCTTTTGCTGCATTTCCCCTGCTTTAACATCCCTACCCAGGGCCGCAGAGAGCCACGCCGAGCCCAGGGGCAGCTCAATGCTTGCACCCCTCTCTACCCAAAGCAATAAACCCTAAATGCGTTAAATTACGATTTTAAATCCATATATTATTCTTTTTTTGCTTTTTATTTTTATTTGTCAATCATTGTAACACTTTTATAGTACAGATATGATTTGTAGCTATCGTATCATTTTGAGCCCTGCTACCTAATTGAAATACCAGTGTGCCTTATTTTGCTTAAGGGTCCAGGAGCAATTGCCCCATTTGGCCCCCTCTCAGCGAGCCTGTCCCTACCATCTTTGTCCCATCTCTCCAGTTTGAAGGCAAACAGTAAGAATTGCAAGACGTACGCTTCAGCTATAGAAAGGATCACAGGAATAGCAGAGCTATTGAATCGATCACGTGGTAAGCAGGCTGTAGCAAGGCTCAATAACATCTGCTTGTTGACTGTTTTCAAAGCAGACTAGTATATCACTGTCTTTGCATTGAAATCTGAGTACACTAAGTTTATCCTAACCTGCATGCAAGTCTCGACAGGACACCGTATCTTTTTTCTTAAGAATGTGGCATGACGGGAACAATGTTATTGTCACATCCATCTTTTTTCCACTCGCATATTTTAAAAGATGACCCGCAATTTTTAGAAATCCACGTGATCTTTTCAAACATTACGAGGTTCAATCATCCTTCTGTTAGTATAATAGAGTTCCGAAGTGATGACGTCATAATTATATACTTTTTAACTTTTTATTTAGTTCACCTTGCCTGAAAAAGAGTCACGGAAAAGCTCTAAATATGCATAATTAGCCAAATGTGTATTTCCCCATCAGTACAGGCGCTTCCCCCTTCAAATCGCTGTAATTTGGCCTACGCCATCAGGCGCGCAACCAGAAATTTCAGAGGGCAGGGGTCCAAGACACAAAAAGGGCACTAATTAAACTTCATTAAAGGTCCACCGGGGCATTTGTTTAGGTACACCGAAAATATGAGCAGTTAGTAAATCTGTAAATATTGTACGCCAGACAAGGGAAACTGATCAATAGAGAAAAGTTGTGGTGTACGGTTTATTTTGTGGTGAGGTGTGATGAAGTTTAGGAGGCCCGAAGGAGGGGGGAAATGGAAAAAACAATGCCTCTTGCGAGCGAAGCGAGCAAAAATTTTGCCACCATACCCTTGCAAATAGCTTAAATTCACTAATTCGTTTAAGATGTTTTACTTTTTAATTGTAATTTTGTTACTTTTAATAAATTCCATTTAAAAACGGAATTCATTGCTTTGTGAGGCTCCCTAGACCTCGAGGCCCTAGGGCAATTTGCCCCTTTGTCCCCCTCTCGGCGACCCTGCTCTCATCTCCTTTTCCCAGCGCCAGCTCACTTTTGAATAGCAGCCCATCATCTTCCATATCCGAAGACATTTTGCGCTTTAAAATATTATTATTGAATTCTTTGCTTCGCACTACAGATTGGAGGAGGTTGAACAGTTCCACGAGCCTTGCCTTCAGCTTGTTTCTGTCTCCAAGTCTTGCCTTGAGCTGATTTGTAATACTGACAAGGAACGGAACAGCTGAACATCAACTTTTTGTGTCATATTTACTGCTTGCTAATACCAGTCCGAAAATATTTCCCTGCATTCGCTCGTTTCATGCAAAGGTCTTCTATGACCCTGTCAACTATGTGACAGGCTTGAAAAATGTCTTGGTTTTTATTCTTGTAACTTTTTACCAGAGGTCGTAGAGGCTCTATCCCGTTCAAAATCCTGTGCCTTTATTTTGGTTTTTGAGTCCCAGAACCATTCTTCTTCAAAGCCAGTGCGTAGCGCATCATAAAACACGCTGTAGAGTTGGGGCTTGAAGATATACTCTATTACTGCAACATGATGACGTTCGACCCAACAAGTGCGCGAAAGTTCGACTAAATCATTTATCTGTATTCCTGCGAGGTCCATTACATCTCCGTAGTGTGTCATTTACTGTATGACCAACCATTTTAGCGTAATAGTTAAAATATTCAAGCAATTTTCCAGGAAAAAGGGCACTTTTACCCTTTTGAGAAAAAGGGCAGGGGTCTGGACCCCCAGGACCCCCCCCGTAGTTGCGCCCCTGGCCATGTGCTAAGAATAACAGCAATCCGTTAGCAAACTTAAAACCTTTCGTTGACGATACCCTACCCAATTATTAACATATGTATCTGGGTTCTGATGTCCAAATCTGTTCGATACATTATATACAGGATTAGAGATTCTTTTGTTCATTTATATCCTCCCCCATACTATTTTCTAGTTGCTATCCAGACTAAAAAATTCCACTAATCTTTAGTTTCATAACAATTATGAAGTTCTTAATTCAATTGGCTTTTCTTTATCGGTTTTATCGTCATGGTTTGTCGGTAAGGTTGGTTATTAGCCAATGGTTGAGTTGTTTCCAAGTCAAGGCTGCTTCCAAGCACAGTTTCGTATTATTGAGTCTAAACGGAAAACTTTATCGGGATTCGTAATAATTGTCGTTTATTTATCTTTTCAGTTCCATTAATTTTTGTTTCTTGCAATTACGTCACCAGCGTTGGAATTTGCTTATGATAGCTAATTTTTCCTCTGCCGATTATCGTAACTGTTCAAGAGACTAATCATTAAGTATTTGCTATATGGGGATGGACGATTTTTGGATGGGTCATGAAAAAATTCTGCCATATCTTTTTTGGGCTTTGAAAAAATGACAGGAGATAATACCTGGCTGGAGTTTTGCATCCGTTGAGAAGGCTCAAGTTTTTCGTGGTTTATCAAATTGATATTTTAGGATAAATGGACTGTTGTTTGTAAAGATAAGGCCTGCAATGCATTATGGGGTGTGCAAGCCTTTCAATTAACCTGCAATTGATCAGCTTCTATAGAAACGAATCACCAGGACATACTGTGTGGTTGTAATATGCCTGTGGAGTGTATGGTAGATAGGTTTTTCCAACCAGTCAGCGGGGGCTCTCTGTTGTTGAAAATATGTTTTTGAAATTTTTTTATCTTTTATGGTTACGACGAGCGGTTCTCCGTGGCCTAGAATTATGCAACATTCTTTTGTAGTCTATGACCTCACAGTAACGCACAACCTCGTTTAGCGCGACTGGAATGGACACGCGGCTGCCTGGAGTACATTATCTACTTTTTCATTTGTCGTGTGTGTGCTACATTTCAATATCATATGATTCATCACTGTCAAGTCTTTAAGACTTGTAAGACTTATAAGATGATAATCACACTTTTAACTCTTATAGCGATCTCATTCGATTACCAAGGTACAATTACAGATTTAAGCAAAATTGAGGCGTTTTCAAGTAATCATAAAACAATTAACGATCTGGATTTATTGGAGCTTCGAAAATTCGTATTCCAGACAGCTTAATGCAAGAATCTATTGCTAGAGGGCTTGAACGCATCATTAGATAGGAGAAAAAGCAACAAAGAACACAGTAATGTGCCGAGTGAGAAACTGAAAACAGCAATGTAAAATTACCCGGGTATTTGTGTGTTGACCTTGGGTTACCGCATTGTCTCCCGGCTATTCTGAAGGGGATGGGCTCATAGTGATGCGGTTTGTTGGGAAGCCAGGTCATTGTGTGCCCTTGTTGGAAACCCGATCGGTCAACCAAACTGGCAACCGGGCAACTGACAGTGCCAGATTGTCAACCGGCTACACAGATACACGGTTATTGTCAACCGGCTCAGCAACAATGATGACCGACAATTTGCTCAACACGCCACATTGTACCATATTGACTTACTCCTCGAGATCCAAAAGAGGCCTAAAAGAAGAGAGCTACTATAAACACGTAGATCTTAATCGTGTGGCTTACGTTTTTCATTTGTTCTTTTTCAGCCCAACGCTAGTAAACGCTGGCGATCACAGGATGAAAGACCAAAAGGAAAACGACGGACTTCTGTACGGAGACAAGCCAATGAAAAAGGTATTACTAGGAGAGATACCATTGTTAAATAGGGATTTGGGGGGGGGGGTGTGGCCTTTCTTTTTGTATTTTGGAATAAATTCGCACAAAGAAGCGCCGAAATGCAGCAGGCTGTTACACCTCAAGAGTGTTTGTAATATACAAGGGGATTGTTTGTACACAGTGTTTCTATTGACTGTAAAAGGGAAGATTCTTTAAAGGTGCTTATATAGAGATGTACTGTAAAAACAGGCATGTAAGAAGGAGACTATAGCGGAATCAACGACATATCTGAGGAGAGATATCTGACACGCCTTTCTATTTTGAAGAAAAATATTTCGAAAGCAGTTTTCGTTTGCTTTAATCTTGTGAAGCTCGTCATAATGGCAAAGAGCATATTTGTCATTTCACTGGAATCCACTGTCATTTCGTGTCTTGAAAAGAGCGCCAAACTGCTTTTAGAAACAAAGCTGCCTGTTCGAAACGGAGGTTCCAGAGCGTACCGGATTCATGTGTTCACACGAGCTCAAGCCCAAAAGTGATCCGATATGGTTCCATTCCACATTCAAATCGAAATGGTTTGGTTCGGGAAAAACGTTACTGGGCGTATCGGGCTCAAGCCCCATCGTATGAACAGTATAGCCTGTGCTCCAGACCCCTTACTTGAAAGTTAGGGGTCTGGAACACTGGCTAGAACAGAAGGGCTATCCGGTATGAAAAGCGATTCGATACGCAACGAATCCGGTATCTTGTGAACAGAGCCTAAAAAGGGATATTTTAGACCACTTTTATACGCACCTCGTTTATCCTAATTTTCAGAAGAAGATTCTTATTCAAAATGATTGAGAATGCTTTCATCTTCTATTTTCAGTTAAGGTATCAGTACAATGAAAAAAATGAAAAATTAGGAAAGAAGGTTTGAAGTTCCAATAAATGACACAAAATACAATTTTAAAGTGCAATGGAAAAGAATTGATTTTGTAAGAACCTAAACTAAATTTATAAAAGTTTCTCACTGACAGGACAAGAACTGAAAAAGTGTAGGTTCTTGAGGCTGATTTCCACGAGGCGAATTTCGCAGCGAATTCGCGGCGAAATCGCTGACGAAGGCATCAAGGCATGCGCAGTTTTGATTTTTGATTTCGCAGCGAATTCGCAAGAAAGTAGAAAAGAGTTCGACCTTTTCTCGGCGAAATATTTCGCAGCACTTAATAACCAGTCAAAGCATGGTAAATTTGCTTGATTTGTAAGAAAACAATCTTGGAACATTCGACATGCGTGCAGTTCTGAAAATGGCCGCCTTAAAGTTGAGTTTTGGCGGAAATTATTATATAATTTCGCAGCGAATTCGCAGTCTCGTGGAAATCAAAGACAATTTCGAAGCGATTTCAGTGCGAAATTCGCCTCGTGGAAATCAGCCTTTATACTGATTGGTTTATACTGTTTTTTAGAACGATATAGCTGATAAAATTGACTTTGCTCCCGTTTGTTGCCAGTTTCTTTTAAAAAGATATTCCAGAAATCGGTAGGGTGTCAGAGGGGCAATTGACCTCGTGTTTAGAAACGAATAAGGTTTAATGGAAAATTTGCGAAAGAATTTTGCTCACGCCAACAATTCATTGTTTTCCGACGCTTATGCGAAAATTTGTCGAAAAGTTGGTCTCTTTGCTGCTTGATTTGGAATATTTTTGGCTTAAAAACTATTAAAAGCTAAATGCATTAAAGAAAGAATACCAATATAATTTGACGAATAAGTTTTCCAGGTTATAGAACTAAAATAACAAAAATTTAAAAAAGGTTGCTTGGCCCTATGTATGGAGGCATTTTGAGCACACCTTGCCAGTTATTTAAATGGCTGCAATTAGAAAAATGAAGCTTGGAAAATACTGGTAGAAACTGTTTTTGACATTTCGTCTATTGTTCGTCAAGTAACTAATACTTCTTTCAATAGGAAGATCGACATAGTAAGATATCCCGCAGGTTGATAGCAAGCCTCTATAGCTCAGTGGTTAGAGCACTGGTCTTGTAAACCAGGGGTCCAGAGTTCGAGTCTCTGTAGGGGCTGAGATTTTTCTTTTTGTTCTTCCTGCAATTAGTAATGTTTCTTGTTAATTGCATCTTCACACGTAACCATTATTGTTGTCTATTTCCAGACAAAATTGGGAAAAGATTCACAGATGAGCCCCGTTGAACTGATTGAAGAATACAGAAACGTGCCAGCTCCCATCGATCGATACTTGGTAAGGATGACACTGTGCCAATGATAGGATAAATAACTTCTACAAATTTGCGAACGGTACACATTTAAAATGGCTTTGACCAACATAAAATACAAATTCCAGACTTCAAAGCTAGCAGTTCTGGTGTTAGCACACAGAATCAGAAAATATATTATACCGGTTGATAAGAAAAAACCTGCACAATTTAAAATTTAGAATTTGCGAAAAACGAAACCTTTTCTAAGCAAAAAAGTGACGAAACCTGTTAACTGAAGAAATTGTAGAGTTTGAGATTTGGCAAATTTCATAAGGCTGCTTAACGATGAAGACATTTTTGTCCAGCTGATGCGTCAAGAAGACAGGGACGCCGGAGAGGGGGACGCGGGTGGGTCAACCGCCCCCGGGCAAGGGTAGTTCCGGTATTTCCGGCGTCTCTGCAAGAAGACATACTGTACATTTTCAGCTAAACTGCTAGCAAACACGATTAACCAGGCCTTTTTTAAACCGGAGAGTTCTCTGAACCAAAAATAACTGTTAGTTTTAATATATCATCTGTTCCATTTTTTTAAAATAATCGTTACACCCTTTTTTATAAGAACAATTTTATAAGAACACGAGCCTCCAAATTGGTCAAAGTTAAGAATAAATTAAGAACAAGCTGAAACTGAGCTACTCTAGAATGCAACTTTGAACAATGTTTGATCTCAATACGAGAATTTTTAGCCATTTTTGGATGCTTTTTCGGTAAATATTCAAACTTGTCGGCAAATGTAGGTTGTCTCGATCACTTTGTTGGCAAATGAGGCCTGAACACCTCCCTAGAGCGAAATAATTTAAGAGCAAAGTAAGAACAATCCAGCCTCAGATTTTCTAAAAAATTAAGAACAGTCAGCCTGAACTTAAATCTACTGGTTCTAATAAAAGAATAGTGTATTTGGTTTCATATAATGTGTTGTCTTTTGATATTGTTTTTATGTTTAGACTGTAAGAATAATAGGGTCTTTTTTAACATACTAACTAAGGGGAAATCTCCCCTTCAGTCCTAGTGGCTCTTTATTGTTTTAAATAATCGGCTATTGTCCTCCTCTTTATATAAACAAATCCTGCCCCCCCCCCAGCTGATTTCTATAAAGAAGCTATGAGGAATATCAGATGGAGTGCTTTCAATTTGCTAGTGCCATTTTCTGTATATTTCCAAACTTCAAGATCCTCTCAAATACTAATGCTGAAAATTTTGACCTAAATATGTATCAAGGAAAGGCAGCATGAGCAGACCTATTTTTAATCTTTATGGATTTTCGGTGGCTGCTTGAATTCCACCCCAAGACACTGTTCGACTTCTCTGACACCAGCTTTCGAACACAAAATACCCTCAATTCCTTAAAATCTGTAATGGCCGACGCATGTGCAGTATCTTCTTCTTCTAAGCTAAAGTACTTTATCTTTCGTAGTCGCCCCCCCCCCCTATTTTGAAACAAACTATCGTTCATATGATTACCCTGGCCTTGTTACATTTAGTTTTTCTGCAGCAGAAGAATGACCTTATGCTTTCTCTAAGTTCATAATCTTATTTTAGGTTTATCCTCTTAGAGATGAAAACCAGCGGCTCAAAGACCAACCTCTCATACTTAAAGGTGAGTGGCATTCCTATTAGAAATGTAACTTTAAGATATTTTCAGAATAAATCTTTTGATCTTTGGATCTGGTATTTCCTGCGAGACGGCGGAGAGCTTTCCATTTGTTGTCGACAACACAATCATTTGACAAAGATATACCTTTGTAAACACATATGAGTCAGGATCAATCTCTAGACCCATTTTTTGTGCACAACAATCGCACTTCCTGCCTCAGCAGTAAATAGTGATTATATTTACTAAATTGTAAGATACTTTTGCTTTGTACTGTAAGCCTATTTCGAATTCTTTATAAAAGGTCTTAAGTCTTTCAACTAAGTTAATATGAGATCGGTTTCTGTTATCGATGTTTTCACGATTGTAACTTCACTGGCTCAATGGATTGTTAACTCTGGCCTTGTCCGAAAGCTTTCTATATTAAGCGGGATGCCTTTGGTTGGAGTGGGACAATTATAGTAGCCCTATCAAGCTTAACATCTTTGTTTCAGCACTTCATTGAGTCACGATTTTCTAAACAGCAGTTCTTCGGTTAAACGAAAGTAGTATTGGTTCCCTGCCATCGAGACTGGCAATTTTCTTAATTTCATTATTTTTTGCCCCTCTTCTTGAGCTTTGCATCCCTTGCCACCTTGATTGCAGGCTTCCCTGGTTCTAGGCAGAAACAAACAACTGGATATCTTCTATATAAAATTGAAGTTTGAAAACAAAATGGTAGTAAGCCAAAAATCACAGCTCCATTGCTTAGAGCGTGGATCAGCAAAACTGCTTTGCACTGCAGTACGTTCGATCGATCCCATTCACAAATCCTAGTCCTTCGGTTTTTTAAAAAAATAAATTCATTAGTTTTTTTAAACTTCGTGTATGTACCCGGGAATCCACCTCGCTATGGCAAAGCGATACCCAAGAAAATGTTTTGTGCACGGGATTTATTTGGTAGTCAATACAATGTATTGCGTACGACAGCCTTTCACAAGAAATATCAAGAGTCCACCAAAATACTGATACAGGCAATTTTTCCAAATGGGCTAGGGACATATCTTCTCATTGGCTTATTGACATGTTCTTCACTCATGCATTCATGCAGGAACCGTTTGTCATTAGCTCGGATAGACGGATGTCTTAGAACTATATACCATGTGTCTCTTGGTCGCCTCGCGTAAAGCTTTCGATCCGCTGAATGATTCAGATACATTGTCAAATATCAATGCAATTCCAAATATATACTTCGAATTCGACCTCAATTTGAGGGAGCTTGTCCAGTGTAACCATGCGACAACACAATGTTACTGCAGATGTGGGCTTGTTAATCCAGAAACTGTACAAAGATGTGTTAATGACATTAAGAAGTATTATACAAATGATATGGTGCAATAATACGATAGGATGTGTCTTAAATTCCTTTATGAATTAACTGAAACTGTGGAAGCCCTGGATGCTCGGATCAAGCAAAGGTATATTTGCCCAGATGAATTTTCTGCTCATATCTGTACCAACGATTATTGCTGTGAATATTCTGTGAAAGAAGGCAGCAAATCAATATCGTGGGATGTGATCAAGGGCGTACAGTCCAGGAAAAATATATAGCAAATCCCACTGTACGAATTGCTTAGGACCGTACTTTTGTCAATAACTCGACAAATGACGAAGATTGAGGTTCATATTTCACCTGCATTTTAAGCATAATGTAAAGAAGTTGAAAGGATTAAGTAGGTTGTACAAAGATAAAGGAATAATCTTAGCGATTCACGTTGTTCATGAATAACACATATGTCATGATAGAGCAAAACTATTGTTTGGCTACATTTTTATATGGTTAGTGCAAGGCATAAAGTATATCACTGAGAGCTTTAAAAGTTGCTTGTTCAAAATTTTTATCTTGAGAAACTGTTCATTTAACTGCATTTAACTGTATCTTGAAGATAATAAAGATAAGATGCTGGCCACCTCTAATTACATCCTTGCTTTAAGATCAATTTTTAACGTTCCACTGCGTTTTTCGCTCCAACTAAGCCATTAATTGACAGCTGCATCGGTGTCGAGCAAAAACTTATGTATAGAGCAATTCAGGACAACAGGTGAAATTCAGAAAATTATTTTGATAATTGCAGAAAAACGCACTTCTGAAAGCTTTGGAGCCGGATGTTGATGAAATAAAAAAGGAGATATAAGAGAAATAGAGCCTTTGGAAGTAACTCATCAATCTTGAAAATGTCATCGTTGCCCTCGTCTTAGGAATCTTGTTTTTGGTTCATTTTTAAGGGTTAGAAATGAACGATTTCCAGTTTACTGAATGCAAGCAGCTCGTTAGTCAGACTGCAAAACATCTGGCTCACCATGAATCTTCTCTCAGAAATTTTCTCAGAAATTTTCTCAGAAATGTTCTCAAAAATTTCTCAGGAATTTTTTGGATCGTTTTGTTTATTTTTGTTCCTGCTAAGGGCCCTGTGGTAGTTTTCAAAGACATTGCAAAGCTAGGCTTATAAAAACATGCCTGTCTCTTCCCTTTTTGCCTGACCAATCCCCGGATACTTACATTTATTATCTGAGTTTGTGACGGAACCAGTGACACTCTCTTTCACTAGGACAAAATTTATCTGTAGAGAGTTCGTGAGTATCCTCACTCTAACTGAAATTGTTGTCGATGTAAACAGGCGATGTAGTCTAAAGGCAGTAGGTCTTGCCAGTTAGGTATCTCAGCACCAAAGCTTGGAGAGTCACGTTATTATAAAAGTTGTTTCTTGGGGGGGGGGGGGAAACTGCTTGAATCAGAGATGTATTGATTGTCCATTTCAATAAACGTTTTTATATTAATTTAGGAGGAAGATGCTCGTATCCAAAATATTATGCTATTTTCAATTTTCTAAGTGGATTTCGTCTTCAATTAAGATCCACCTGATGCCAAAAGGGGGCCTGCGACGGGTACTAGAGATGGGAAGAGCACAACAGAGGGCCACCACATTGCTGTCAATAAGGTACTGTCGGAGGTGCAGCAGCGTCGAGAACGACTAGAAAGTAACCTTGGCGCACTGATAAGGAGAAGGGATCAGCAAAGACTTTACGAATTAATTGATCGTCCGGAAAGGTGAATAGGCTTTAGAAAGCCACTTCTATCTTTATTGAGAGGTATTTAGGCCCAGGTAACAGGCTGCTTATCATAACTTATAACATTTGAACAATGCGGCTAATTAAGATGCTTATATGCAGTCATTGAAAGAAGAACGAGTAACTAGAAGACATTTGATGCTTTAGCTATTTGAAAACACGAACAAAATAAACCTTCTCTAGGCCTACCATTTCTGCCCTAACTTGTTTAAGAACACGATCAAAATAAACTTACTTGCCACAAACATGTAAATAACAAAGTAGATATTTTTTGGTAAAGGACGTGTAGGCAAATGCTGAAGATACCTCTGGACGAATCATTCCCCCGATACCTGCTTCAGCAAAATGACATTCAAAGCTACTTTTGGATTTTCCTTATTGTTAAAAGATCTATGCTAAGAATAAACTAATTTTCACTTTTGTTCTTACTCTTAATGATCAAGGGTGAAACATGTTTTAAGCCAATCATGTGGTTTGTTTACATCAATGATCAGCCAAAGAAAACGCTCTAAGACAATAGAATCCTCTCAGGAGAAAACAGCTTTAAATCGAGCACAACATCTCTCATCCCTGTCCCTTTAACGCTGTGCTAAAAAGATAGCGATGTTGCAATTTTAACATGTGAAATTCTGACCTTTCTTGAATCTTATGTTTCATATTAAAGCTTTAAAGATGACGTATGTCATTTTAGTGAAAGTGCAAATGATCTTCAACGCATTCGTTATGAAGTGAGCAAGAAAATTGATGAAATTTCAACCCAAATCAAGGTCAGTCTGCTCTGTTTATTTCTTATTCCTATTCTTAAGACAGAATTGAGAAATTTCCTATTCGTGTATATTTGATTTTCCTATTTATGGAAAAATAACAGTGAATGATCTCATGATAAGTCTCTTGGATTGTTATTCCCTTTTAATTTAAACCAAAACTATACCGATTATGAATTTCATGAGTTGGAAAAATGAAACCGTACTGTACCAAATTAAAGAGTTACCTTGTCACTGCTTGTTAGAATTGTTCCTCAAAACAGACGAAGTTACTTCACTGTCCTAATAAAATGCCTTTTCCCTTTTTGATAAAGGTTCTGTTAACATGGGCTTTTGATTTTAGAAAATGTGTCCACTTTGACTTTGTTTATGTCACCTACTGCCTCGCATTTCCTGGCCCTCTGTCAGCCAAGGAGTGAAAGGCTTACACGGCTTTATTCAAGATGAAAACGGTTTTCTTTGCAAAAATTTATTATGGTATTAAATATTTTGTCTTGACAAAGAGAAATAGATTTTGCCAAAAAAGTAAATTCAACGGCGTGCCCATAGTTACATCTTTGTCATGTTGCCTCCTCATGTAATCATTTTCTCATTTTATTGAGACACTTTTTGAATTTTGCATAGATCAAGACATCTTTCTTTCCACTTCTGTAGCCAATATGGTGGGCTGATAAGATCATAAAAAGATAAGAGATAAAAGGTGCTTAGAAATGGTTCGTAAATGCGTTTTTTTATTTTAGAAGGAAACCAACGAACCCAAAATACCAGCAATACATGCTGCATCTACAGAGGAAAAACAGAAGAAGAATATCCATAGGTCAAAACAAAGGTCTGTTACTGTGGGTACAAAACAGAAGGCAAAGGATAGTTCCCAGGTGAAGTCTTCAAAATCAAGAAAATTACCTGAACAGAAAGATAAGCCAAAGAGAAAAGCTGTCGTGAAATCAGAACCAACAGTAAGTGTTACTGAGAATACAGTTTTTATTTCGCAGGTACCTTCTGCTCAAATTCTCACGAAATAGCGCGTGATTAAATTTTTGTTAATTTTAGAAAAACACCTACGCAGAACGCAGATGAATCTTCAAATTCTTCAAGTAGAGACATAAAAAAGCTGCGACAGCAGAAAGAAACATTTGTTCTCTTGTTGCTCTCTTGTTTCAGTTACATACAGCTGCTAGATGCATTTATATTTATTATTTCTGTAGAAGAGGTGATCTGTGAGATGGTGGACAAGAAAGCAATGAAAGCTGTCAAGAATCTGTTTTTTTAATCGAAATTGTTGTGAACTCTTTTCTATCATGAATACATTGTTTCTCTTCGAGTTCAACAGAAAGTCTCCTTTACTTCTTTTTTTTATAAACAAAACACAGACTGATTACATGTTCATTCGCGATTTTTACAAGTAGTCAAAACTACGCCTTCCTCCCTTCCTCGTTCTTATCAACTTTGAACTTTCGCAATACGTGCTCCAGTATAATTCGGGACCTGAGGCGAGGTCTCTAACAAAAATTTTCGAGAAATCCATATTCACGGTGAAATAATTCCGTAATTACAATTATTTTTTTCCTACAATCAGATGTATTTATTTTTGTAATTAATCGAGACCATCCTAAAGCGCAACCTGAATTCTAGAATTGATAACGCAAGAGCACTGAAATACAAATGGCACCGGCTTTGTTTTTTAAAGCGCGCTTTGGTACTTTTATAGAGAATTGAGTATCGCATTAAATGAGCGAGCGTAGATTAATACATTAGCATAATAATTATATTTTCATAAAGTCAAGAAATTATTTGTCTTTAAATGATTATTGAGTCAGGAGCTGCGAAAATATCACTCAAAGCTTGTCTGTAAACAGAGATAATTTTCCTTTTCACTTTGTTTGACTCCTCTGACTTTCAGAATGCTCAAGCGGTCGTCAAACCACCCTTTTACGATGCTGATCTTCTAGCTGCCGTATTGGGTGAACGTGTCTATCAAGCACATCGCTCCACAGTTCGTCCACCCCATATCCAGTTCCATTCGCCAGCTAAACCTCCTACAGGAACCAATGGCCTCGGAGTGAAACCCCAAGTTTCTCGTGAACACGAAGCTTCAAGAAAAGCTACTAAACAGATAGGTGAAATCGATGATACAGAAAAAGATACAAGCAAACCCAAGTATTATTTTCAGCCTACAGAACCGGATTTCTACAACATAGAACGTTTCCAGTATCCTTCATCCGGTGAGCTTGTCCCTGTTGCCAGGTCACTTGGAAAACCTCGCCAGGATGAGAAATTGAGACTTCCTATTCCGTCTGAAGATGCTCGTTTGCCAGTCAGTAGTAGTAAGTGAACATTCTAATAGAACGAATCATGTCACCTGGTCAAAGTTTGGAAGGTCTGACATTGTTAAGATTTCTTGTTCTACATTGCAATCACAAATGGAATGAATCTACTCAAAATTACTGTTTACCGGTCTGTCATGAAGTGCTCGATACCGTATATTAGGCAGTGCTGTACAAGCTATTTGATGTATAGAACAGGGTGGTTCTGAGTTGCTCCTCCGAGTTTCACGCTTAATGCGACTATCAGGCAACTCTTCTGTTCAGAACATAAACAAATTAAATTTTTCCTCAACCGTTTCTATTAGAAGTAGGAAGTTGATTATATAAAGGTTAAAAAAGGTTAAATATAAAGCAAAACTGATTAAGAGTGGTCATTAGAATAATTTGCTGAAGGGGTTTCTCCTTTGTTTTGTTTTTTTTATACATGAAAGAGCACCCTTTGAAGGCATAGAATGATTTTTGCTCAAACCTTAGGTGGAAAATTAAATGACGATGGTCATGTTCGTGATAAACAAACTTGGTTATGCTAATTTTGAAATCTTATAAACACGAGTTTAACTCGATTTAGTTAATTGTTCATTAATGTAAACATTTCTAACTGTTTCGATAGGATTTCAAAAATTAAACCTCATGATACAGTTTGTCTTAAGGCGGAGATTCTCACGATTTCCTTGCCATATATCTTTTGTATTGTCTGCTCGCCTGCGATAATTTATTTTTTCCAAGCAGGATGCTGGCAATTTTATCTATGCATTTGGACTCAAATTTAATTTTTGCCCTTCCCTGAAATTGTTTTATCGAGCTTTGTTTTAATGTGAGTCTTTGAAAAATGGTTTTCAGATGTCAGAAAGCATTTTTTAAAATGCTGTTTGACCTTATCTTAAGCACCTGTAGCACAGCGCCTGGTAAGCCAGTCCAATGTCGCAGTTATTGAAATAAACGATGCTACGTCGCCAAAAGATATCGAAGACAAGAAAAAGCAGACAAAACTCGTTATACAGGTATGTCGTTTATCTAGAATCTTTTGCTACAAAATTTTTATGTATGCTACTGGTATGTAAGCGATGTTTTTGCTTTTGTTTTTCATCTGATTTCGCAACAGTATATGCTAATGGTGATGTTTGCTTTATAAACTTTATCGCTAAAAGTGCTGCATTTCAGGATTTCTAACGTAAAGGCAAAGATATACTGTTGATAAATCCTTTTATTAACGTTTTGTTGACCAAAATTTGTATTTGAAATTCCTAATATGTTTCTTGTATATCAAGTTTCACCAATATTTGAGCGCTTTCTTGGTTCATTTCGAAAGATACACTATAACTACCTATTTTGAGTGCAGAAAATGATTTCAAAAATGTTTTTTTTCCTTTCCAGAATCTACCAAACATTGTCATCGAAAATACACAAGACACGCTAGAAAATGAAGGGGCCAGTAGAGAGGTTTAGCAATCTTTTCTTTATTATGTTCAGCTGTATTTTACAAAGTCTTAGATTACTCTTAAATGATTGTTATCTTATATTAAGGCAAAGGCAAGGAGTGGTCAAGTCATAGACTACCGTAAGGTCGAGACTACCGTAAGGTCGAGCCATCACTAACTCCGAGAAAAATTTCGGAAGAAGGAAGAAATTTTCTTCTTAACAGCCATTAATTTCTCTAAATATTTAAGTATGCAGAGTTGCCTTCTGCTGTTATATTGAATGTCTGGACAATGAGAATAAGTCATTTTCGCACTTACATAGGTTGCAGATAGTACTGTGATAACAACTCCCCCAAAACCTGAAGAGTATACTGACTTTCAAAGCTACATCGCTTGCACTGACGTCACAGATAATGAAGCCAACGACAAAGAGTCACAGGAGAAAGAGAAAGCTTTGCATTTTGAAGGGTCTGTCAAAGATGAGCAGCGAGAGTATAATGAGCCTCGATTCCCACCAGAACGTCCTTATTGCGAGACCAACTCAAAAGGAGTAGAGATTCAGTACAAGACAACTTTAGAGGATAAAGCACAAGAATGGTAGGTGGTTATTGTTTAAATGACGAAATTGATCAGCTATCTCTGTGGTTGATTCATTTTTTAACTGATGCAAGCTGTGCGCACTGTCACATTGTTGAAAACTGGATCAATAACAGATGGTTTTTCATACATTATGGTTAAAACAATCAAGTCAAGAAAGTGATTTAATTCGCTTTCTCGGTAGAAAGTTTCCTAGGCTTATTCTGTCACAAATTAAGAAAGATGAACATGTTCTCGGATGCCATTTTGAATAAGCGTTTGTACATAGATGTTAATTTTTTTGGCCGATTTGTTGGATAGCAGCTAACTTCTTGTGTCTCTTCCAGTACAAATATATTCAGTTGTATTCTGCCTGGAAGGAAAGATACCATGTTATTTAAAGGTTCATCTCTTGTTGTTTAAATCATTTTAATGCAGTTGGTGTAAAAACAATAAGTTTGTTGCATAACCCAATGTACGTCTAAACTCAATGCATAACCTAATTGCAGGATTGAACACGAGTTGCTTGCACGAATCGTAAGTCAGATGAATCTACCTGAGGACCCAACAGCAATCCAACAATATCATGATTATGAAAGTGAAGAGTTATCTGCGTCAGAGGAAGAGGAGGAGGAAGAAGCCGACTGGATCCGTGAGTTTGGTATTATGTGATATTGTAAATCTTTGCAGAAGACACATTTCTTTCGGCAATTTTTTGAAATTCTGCACACAAGTCGATAATGAGACCATCATTACAAGCCATGTTATGGGAACAATTACAAGCCATGTTATGGGAACGCTTTGTTTAGAGGGAAAGGGGAGCTGCATTAAAAGGAGCCTTCTTCAGAAAGAGCTATTTTAATCAGTTTTAACAAGATATGCTCATAGCTACGCGTTTTGATGTTTTTTTTCTTACATACGCTTTTTGCCAAGTGAAAGTTTCGGAAAATGGCTTGCATTACTATTTGATGATATTTTATGATCTTAGTTGAAAACAGAGTGCAAAAAAACATTGCGAGTACCAAAGGAACGTTGAAGGAAAATAAGTAAAGGTTGTAAAACCAAGTCGTACTCTCTTCTCTTTGCTTAGCTAAAATTCTTTCTCAAAGTTTTCTATATTCACTTGGTAATTGACCAACAATGGGAGAACTCTTGCTAGACACTGGAAGAGAATCATCCACAGATCTATGCTAATAATTTAGTGAGAATATCCGAAACAATGTTTATGCCAGTTGTCAATCAACTCTTACATTTTTTGCAGAAGAAATTCTAGGTCCGGGTGGTCTCCAGCTTCTCATTGATGCGGGGATTCCCTTGAACAAAGAGTTGTTAGAAGATCTAGTCAAAGATGTCGTAGCAGAAAAGATCGCGTCACTCCTAGGGTATCCAAAGGCTGCAAAAACGCCTGCGAGAAAGGTATGTCGCCTTTTCTTTTCATTTAGCTTTAAAAAGGAATCACTGTTATGTGAACTTTTTATAGCAGCTATCAGTTTCCGTAAATTTATTTTGTGTTTTGAACCACCTATTACTGTTGATTTATATTTATTGTGGGTGTTAATAAAGATAATTGAAACTAAAGTTTCTTGTTAGTACAGCGTTAAAAACGTGGAAATTTGATATACATTATCGATTTCTTCACTGAACATTCGGTAATCTAGGAAAAATATTGTTTATTGTATTGCCGAATCGAACTGATATTTTGATTATTATCTCCTTAAATAGACTAACTTCCGTCAGTTATCTCAGTGTTATCTCATAATTTTTTACTTTTGCACCATGCCCATAGAGTATTATAGAAGAAGAATTGGTCTCCGATGTCCTCCCAAATGTTCTTACCCCGTTAGCCACCCCAGATTACACGCCAGTCCAGTCTGAAGCAGCCGAAGTGCATACACCAATGCTGTCTAGCTTTACAGAAGACTCAAGCCGAGACGACTTGTCTGCATTGGATGAAGAAGTGAAAGAAGATACAGTTATCCAAAAAGGTACTGTCTTGAAGGTTTATCTTTGGCGCGCCATTTTTGGTTGGCTTTGCCAAGTGGCTAGATATGATAAGCCGTTTTGCTCTTTAACAATATTTGCCATTCTTGCAGGGGTGGAAAAGGTATTAGACCACAGGAGAATCGGTCCCAGAAAATATTTTGGGTCCAAAAAATGCTCAAAAGACATAACTTATGTATGGAAATTGTCTATACTGCTAGCTTTGGCACAGAAGTATCTTGTTAACTGCGGTTCAAGCAAGAACAATTTTTCCACCCTTTTATACTTGGATCCACAGCTCTTTCTTGGAGTTTGTCGTTTCTGTTGTGCGTCTTAAGGTAACGCGAAAAATTCTCCGCAATCGCTGTTGATTGAAATTGTGCAGCGTTTGGGCAATTCTTACTCACAATCCTAATAAATTTCTGATCTTTTTCTTGTTTACAATATAATAACACAGGAGCTAACTGTAATTGTAAAATGTTGTGAAACTAATTGTGAAATGTTCTTTAGTTTAGATGTACTTTAGTGTTTTGCGAAACCATTTGATGCATGCTTAGTGGAATGTTTCTTTGCTGCTAGGATATCAATACACCCTAGGGAAATTATTAGATGGACATTCTTTGTTTCAAAAGCAAACTATTTTGTTTTTTTCAGACGACAGCAGCTTGCCAGCTGAAAACTTTGTCAAAATTTCAACCCCTCCAAAGACGCCCCCAGTTTCTGAAAGTCTTGTAGAACAAAATTTGAATGTGGAAACCCCAGTCTCGTCACTGAGAGAAGATCCGGTACCAACAAGTGTGCCAGATGTGCAAACTCCCGAGTTGTCGAAAGCAGAGTTGACGCCTCCAGCTCTAGGAGATTTCGAAAGGTAATCGCTCTGTTAATAAACACTTGCAGAACCCGTTTCAGCCCATCATGTAGTCTTCATGTACCCAGACTAGGGGTTTATGAACAAATTATAGATACTGACAGCTAACCATCGGTACGTTGTCGGTAAATGTCAATAGAAGTTATTTTTACTTGAGAAAATCTCTTGTTAGTATTTTGCGTCCACTTTTCAGTCGAAACTTGTCCCTTAAGTCAAGAGTATTAAATGCGAAATTTTTGCGATTTTAAACCCACGGAACTAAAAACATTTTTTGCCATCAAAGAGGCTATTTTATCAAAATCAGTTATGGCTGACCAAGTTTCTGTCACCTCTCTGTTTACCAGATATATCCTTAAAACAGGATGCACGTTAAGTCCACGTTAGCAAAAAAGTGTCTTAACAGACGAAGAAATCTAATATAATATTTTGTATTTGTTGATGTGTTTTTGTGTTGCATTATTACTCTGGCAACTAATCTGAAAATTCTTGTCTAAGACCAGAGGGTTGAAGAAGAATCCTGTCAAAATTCAGAAACATCACGATTCACAAAATTTTAACTTTATCCTCTTGAGATCTTTTACATCTTGATGGTCCCTTCTCTCCTCTGATTTCATTATGCTTGTGATATGCAGTGACACTTAAGTTACTCTGAAAATATTGGGATGGTTGTCTCTTTGAGTTGCTATCCTTCATGATCACTTATTATTGGTGAAACATCTTTACTGCACCGCTCATTATCATATGTTATATACAGTACCCAAAGCTTGACTGATGATATCCAAAACGAAGAGGGTTCCTCCCTGTCACAGGAACAGTCGCAACATGCACCATCTCCTCGAATTCTGCCACCCCCGCCGCAGATTGTTCAAGTGATAACAAAGCCAGTCTCTGTTCAAAACAGCAGCTTCACCGTTTCTTCATCAACGGCTGTCGGTACCAGCATGTTTGATGGTATATCTGAAGGAGAACGGCTTTGGTCAGATGACGTCATTCCTGGTCTGTATAGTGATGGAGAATTTCCTCTTTCAGAGGGTCAAGCATTGGACTTTTTGCTGGAAGAGGGTGATGGAGGTAGTTTTTCACATTTAAGTCCCTTGAATGTTTCAGATTCTATTCCGATCACCTCTCCAGAAATTATTGCATTGATTTCATTTCTATATCATATATTATCAAATATTAATAAATGTCTTTTCGTTGATCCTTCCCACGCTGGTCTGTTTCGAAGCCTCTCTTTTTCCCGTTAATCCCTTATCTCTTCACGTATCCTCAACACATATGAGCTCAGGTTTTAAGATTGTTCACAGCGCCTGCTATCTATAACTGTTTTGTTATAAATTATTAAAGATATGTTCACATGTAATACACTTTCTGGCTCCACGCACGCTGTTTTATTAAAAGATATGCAGTTATGTTTCTTAGATTGTTAGACCAACTCTATCATTTATCTTGAGCCAAATATCTGAAGCCAAATTTCGTGTCAAAATTTCCCACCAAGGAGAATTTAGCTTAACGTTTCCAGCTACAGTTTCTCATCGTTTTTCCATGACTTTTTCGCTATGAAGTGGAATGAAAAAACGTGTTTATTTTTCTCTTGAGGTCAGGTAACATCAAATTGTATTAAAATATATTTCTCAAGCAAAGATTTATCAAATTTTTATACAATTTATCTAAAAAGGATCTTCATGGATAGTTTTTAACATTTGTAGATGCGGGAACAAATTTCAAAGATCTGTTGCAAAATTTAATCGGGCGAAAACAGGATCATGTTGATGACAGTGCAACTTTGAAAGACACCGAGGACCTAAATGAGGTAGGCCTAAGGAAGACTTACGTTGCTGATATTGATTTGTACAGTATTTTGCTTTCATGGGATTCCCTTGCACGAATCAAATGCGTGTCTTTATATTTGTTGTATATTCCTATGGCAATCCGATGCCGGCGTAGGGTGATAGGTTGGTCTCTCTCATGGCCCTGTGGGGCGTCTTACCATTGACTGATGAAAGGGGATAGGTAATTAACACTGAAAAATACCGAACGTTCGAAATTTAGTACTTCGTGTGGAACTTCTCTTCAGTAATCAAGAATGTTTTAAGAAAAACCCAAGGAAAGTTGCTATTCTCTTTTGGCTCGGTCGTCCGTTCAAGCCAGTCAGGAAAATACAGTTTAACCTTGCAATGTTCTCAATATTTTGTTTATTGACAGGATACCCTTGAAGAAGTGAGCATTAGCGAAGGTGAGTTTCTGGCCAACGATGATTACAATGACCCTATGGTTAAACTACTGAACCAAATCCGAAGCCCTTCAAATGGTGGATCCCCAAAGGACAGATTGGCAAGTGAGGGCGAAGTGAGCAGAGGAGAAGATATGGAAGGTATAAATCAGGATCCGGTTTTGGTAAGAGGCGAAGCAATGCTCCCAACTCAAGGCAAGCCCTGTACATGCATGTTTTTAATACATAGATTTTTCCTTGCGAGAGATTTTTAATTGATTTTCATCTTGTTAATCAGTTAAATTTCAAATGTGTTCTGTGACCAAAAGCGCTAAAAGCATGAAAGCACCTGCTGTTCCTGATCGCTTTCAACAGGAGCCAGTGGGACCCAGATAAATGTAAACACATGAAGAACACGATCTTGTTTGGATATTCAACGTGAAATACTCAAACGTTTCTACATAGAAACTGTTATCACCGCCCTAGCAGGTTTCTATTGGCCCAAGAGCTGTTTGTTGGTTTACTACTAGTGGTTTTATCATTAACACATTCATCCCATTTTCAAATTAAAGACAATCAATCATCTTATTTATTTTTTAAGATTTTCACCATTTGTACGTCTATTGATATTCGATAAATAGGCAGTAAAGTAACAAACCAAGGTAGAAGATTGCAGGGCGTCCATTTTTTCTCTGAATTGCACATTTTTACCTTGATTTGAAATCCAATCTTTTTCCTGGATTTGGATTATTGCTGCATTTTTTCTAAGATCCTGTTACATCAGTGAAAATGTTCTGTTTGATGAAAAACTAGCTTGAAATATTTCCAGGAACATTTCACATGCATTTTTTTGCGATTAGGAATTCTCACCCTGGCTTTGATTTTGAACTTTAGGTGATTGGAAGTTTCAAATGGATTTCGTCTCTGACTGTAATAACCTAGCTAGAATAGAATACATTTTTCCTTTATATTATAGAGTTTAGCTGAAATCCAATATTTTGCTAATGTGTGTATAAATATATTCTATAATTTTACCTCTTTGCAGCATCTGGAAATTGATTTTTGATTTATGTGAACGGTCGTGCTAAAAGAGCTTTAAAAGGCTCTAACCAAAAATATTACGTCATAATCGCTTTTCAAAGATTACGTCATAATCAAAAATTGGACATGGTGGATAACTAAGTCTCGAAATTCAAGAAGCTTCATGCCATGTACAATGGTTATACAGCAATATAATTATTTAGTTAGTTACTTTCTTAAACAAAAGTAGGAAATCTTCATGTTAACAATACTGCAAAGTGGTGATTATCTATTCTTAACTTAGGTCGATTTGTAGATTTTGCTGGTTGAGTATTTTTATTTTGAACATTTTAGCGTTCTTATTTTTACAGGTCTCCGGAAGAGGGTGTTGTCTGCAGGCGAGATGGCAGCCAGTAACAGCAATATTTCACACCCTCAAAGTTACTCGATTGGAGAAGTGAGAAATTTGCCGTTTAATAATGGAAACTCACCTTCTACCAATGAGATGCCTAATAGATTCAGGAAAGATATGCCTGATAACGAAGCAATTCGTAGAACTAATTCTCAAGGGCTGGTCGCAGACACGCAGAGAGCAATGAGGAATTTTGATACAAGTGAGGAACTGAAAAGTGTCGATCGTAGCCCTGAAATTGAAGGCAACCAACATGAGCAAAGTGAGGATGCTGAAAATGGCCTCGAGAGGCCTAGAACGATTCTTGTACAGTCTGGAAATTTCGATACAATGTCTTCGTTTAACTTTACTGATTCACTGAATGAACAAAGGCTCGATTCCTTTAATGGACAAGGTACCGTGGGTGAAGCGGAAGAGCGCTCTCCTGATGCTAACCAACCAGCAAAGGAAGTAAGAGATTTTGTCGACATGTCAACTAAGAATCAAGTTGACAACCGTCCACCTACTAAGATTACATTGACGATTCCATCAGTGGCAGATGAGGATAGTTCAGATGAACTGACATTAGAAGGCGATGATATATACAGTCATGATGACGTATCGAACATATCACTATGATGATGACTCCCTCCTGTCAATGATCCAACAAATTGAAAATCTTCCTTTAAAGAACAGAAAAACAATGCTTGAAACGATTGAAGAACTGGAAATTTCTAATGTTTTCAATCATCTTCAACGGCTGCCACTGGTTGTTGACTCTGTTTATTCTATAAACAGTTTGCTTGATCTTTACTTCTAGTTCTGGAAATTTCTACGTATTTTTGGTACATTGTAGATAATGTTGACTAGTTTACAAAGAAAGAAAAGAAAAATATTAAATTTATTATGATTTTTGCATGGTGCAACATTGCTAATATCCAACGAATCACTTGTTTTTTACTAACTTTCTTGAGTGATGAAAGTAGCAGTTCATTTCAGATGAACGATGCTCAGTTATTTGGTCTCAAGTTCTCAAATTATGAAAAGGCTTCTTGAGAAAGATATTGTTGCTAACGGCTAATAAAGATATTACGCAAATAAACCTTTCGTACTGTACGTATTCAGTTTTCCTATCCACCGTCTATCGATTATCCTCTTCGATTGTCCGGACTTCAAATATCTGGGCTTGGATTATCCGGACTTTCCGGTCTGTAGGGAATGTGAAAAAGCTTTAGGCGTTTTTGATAATGCATCGGGGGCGTTTTTCTTGCTTTCCTTTTAAAATGGGATAAGCAGAAAGAATTAAAGGCCACAGTGGCAGACCAGTTGCTGGAAATGGCCACCAGAAAGCGTGAGGCATCGCGCATTCAATTAAAGATTCGCATCTATTTTAGGAGTATTAAGTGTATTAGTCAGTAAAAATGTTTAAACGTAAAAAACAGTAGCTGTAGTTTAAACGTAAAAAAGATATGGATACGGTAGACAATTACAATGTGACAAACTTCACATGCACTCGTGTATATTTTTTTATTTGCATAAAATGTTTTTCGAAATTGAATTTTATAATATATTTATAAAAAAATTCTTGAAAGCGGGAGGTGAGATTTGAAATCGGGAAAACAGGAGATGAACTCCCAAATCGGAAGACTTCTTAGCAGGATATATAAGGAAAGTGCTAACTTAGTAAGACTATCGAAAATCCTAAATAAATCGTTTGCAGGACTTCGCTGCATTGATTACAAACCATGTTCCGATCGTTTTGCTTTGTTTCCAACGAGTTTCCAACATACTTCCTTTGAGACAATGGAATACTTTAGCCTCGTTTCAGCAACGCTGGTTTAGGCCACAGAATAGGCCAAGGCCAAGTCACTGACAGTTTGGAAGCATTTTAGCAACATGGGTAAGTAAAGATATGTTTAATTGGTTTTATAAAACAGGGAATTGATTATATGATCTTAAAAATTGCCTTCATATTGCAATCGTAAGCAATTTATTCGAATGGTAAGGTACGCATATTCGAATGGAGTTTTTAGGGCCCCAAAGAGGGGAATTTTTACTCAAAATTCCATAGCAGTTTCTCAACTTTTTTCTTCTTATTTTTTTTAATAAAACTAGAAACAATTAAATATAGTATTATAAAGATGTCAGAAGACTAGTAAAGATAAAATGTTAAAGGATTTTCAATAGATTTTGTTTGCACATGTTAAGGGATCAATTTGTCAAAATGCAATTTGTCAGTTTTCAGAATAGTACTTGCTGTAGATCTGGCACAAAATGGGTCTCAAATGCAGACTGTTCAACAGTGCTGTTTCTATGGCTTGAGTGTTTGATAGGGAAAAGCAGTCTAAAAAGTATATAATATACATGTCCCCACTTGTGAATTATGACAAGTATGGTTGCTGGCTCTATAAGGGAGTTTTAGACTGAAAAATCTTATGATACTTGTATTTTCTTTATTATCAGGTTTTTCAATTGTTCAGAAACCTGAACTGGCTGTTTTGATTGATAGTAGGATTCTGATTTTTGTTAGAAATTTAGCAGATATTTTGTTAGTGTGATATTTTGCTGCCCAATAGGCATAGAGGAGTTTTATAGCCTGCAAATGATTGTAATTTTAGCTTGAATCCATAAAATTAGATATAAATTAGACAGGAGTTGACAAAAAAAAAGTGAGGCTGCTGATAGCTTAATAAGTCAATGTGTGGCTCTGAATGAAATTGAATATTTGCATTCTATGCTCAGAACAAGTTTTTAACCCATGCTTTGCTCAACTAATCACTGAACTTATGCTCTTTGGGTATTTCAAACTTTATTGCTAGGCATTCTACACAGCTGTTTACCACATTATCCAAAATGACAGGAGTTTTTGTCCAATCTTTGACAAAAAGTAGACATTGTCAAGTCACTCTGCCAAAATTCACACTACCTTTCACAGTCACATAAAATTTAGACCCAAATATGCCAAACTATTCAATCAAGCTCTGTTTACAGTCACACTCTGCTTACTGTCAATGCTTTCTAAGCTACATTCAGTGTGACTAACAGCAGTCTACTGTATCAAACATTTGAATGCATATATTTTGGGAAATCTGAATAGCAAACATTTGTGGGAAATTCTTGATAATCCTGTATATGTCATAGAAAATATATTTAAAAATGTATTTATTCCAAAAGCAAGGTTTTCATTTGTAAAAAATATAGACCATGCCTAATAAAGAAGGGCTGTAAAACAAGAAGCAAGTTGCTATAAAATAATTGCAGGAAAGATGGTTATATTTTCATAAAATTACTAAAGGAAGATAATTGCAGACACACAACAGCTTTGAGAAATAAAAGCTGTTGTGAAGAAACTTCCTAAGAGTGGTTATGTTGCAAAGAAACCAAGAAGTGGACAACCAAAAACAATGTTTGTTAAAAGGGAGAGAACTCATCTGGGTTGAACTTTGTATCTTATATTGTTTGGGGATTAATAGATAAAATGTTCCCTAAGCAATTTTTTCCATCTCAAATTATTTGAAGACAAAAGGACTAAACACATACACAAAATGAAAAATTACCTGCTTCAAAAGATGATTACCTTGATTCATGTTTGTTTTTGCCTCTATGATTTTACTTCATGTTTATCTAAGACATTTTGTATTATAATAAAATTTGACATCTTTCTTCCATTTTATCCATCAGTTACCTTTATAATTGCTTCAGTTTTTTCCACAGCCATTGCAAGATGGGAGACATTCTTCAAAAAGGCAGGAATTCCTAATGGGCCAGCCTCTAAGTAAGAATAAAAATGGCTCTTTGATGTCATTTTCTTTGGCTTTGGCTTTAAAGATGTCATGAATATTTTGCTGCTTTTGTTATATGATATATATAATAATTTGTATCATGAATTTGACCCAAAAAATTTTGTCTTGAGTTTCTGGTTATCAATTTTTCATTTACACAAACAAGAAAGCAAAATTTTTTCTCTTATGAAAAAGAAGACCTGTGTTCCTTAATAATGTTTTTTTCTGTACATATCATCACATTTTTTGATTAAATTTTAAATGTTCTTTTAGATATGCAGAAATTTTCACAGACAATCGGATGAGAATGGACATGTTGAATGAGCTGAATAAGGTTAGGGAAAATAACCAATATTGTATTTTTCCTTATATTTTTACTGTCCTGAAAGAGGCATTATATTATAAATGGTTTGCTTGATTTCTTTACACTGGTTTTAACAATAGAAAAGACAGCTATGTTAGCAAACTATACTCTGAAAATAGGCTCGGACTAGAATGTCTTTAATTTTTATTATTCTATTTTGAGTATCAGCATAAAATTGCTTTTGTATTGCAACAGTTCAAACCATATTAAAGAAGTTGAAATTAAGCAGTTTTCATATTATGCTTTCAATACATTGTGTTAGTCTTTAGTACTGATATTTTTGACATTACTTATAACTAAGATAACAAACTGAAACTCGCTCTCCTTTTTTCCAAGGAAATTTTGGGAGATTTGGGGATAAATGTGATGGGTGATGTTATTGCTATTTTGAGACACAGCAAAAACGTGTATGCAGAGGTAATATTTGTATTATGATAAGTATAATAGGATAACAATGATTTCATTTATTAAAGATATTCTTTATTTGCTGTCAGAAGCAAAACACTGATATTATATATATTTAAGTAAAGCAAATTATTTAAGGTTTAAGTTTAACTAAGAAGCACTATTGTCCTCCTTGAATTAAATTACCTTGCCTTTTTATCACTATTAGGGCTGAAGCAAATGGGTAAATCGCATTAGGTAGCCAAAGTAAATTTCTGTGCAATTTCTTCCGACCAATTGTCTCTTTACTTATGATTTGATTTGGCTAAGATTTGCCCAATTGTTTTGCAAGGAATATTTTGTATTGCCTAAGATAGTTTTACCTACTCTTAGGTCCCGAATAAGTGGGAGCAGGGCGGTTGGAAATTTCTTCAAAACAAATAAGCGGGGGCACTTATTCGGGACCTAAGAGTACATTTTAGTTAACATATACATTTATAATCTCAAATACGTATAGTAGAAGATAGGCTAGAAATGAGACATGTTCTCTCTTACTCCGAGTTTCGTGCTTGCGCACTCATCAACCTTCCTCAAGCTCATGCACAAACACTTCCCCAACGATCACAAATTCCATCAGATCTTCAACAAGAACAACACGAGGGTAAGTTGTATGGAAAACATGCAAACCATCATTAGCAAACACAACAAGAAAATCATCAACACCAATCCCATCACTACCAACGAGAAAACATGCAACAGCCAAAAAAGACCAATGCCCACTAGGTAACAACTGCCTCTCTTCCAGCATCATCTACAGCACACAAATCACAACAGCCGAAGACACTGTCAGCAAAAATTGCATTGGCCTAACAAAAGGAACCTTCAAACAATGATTTACCCAACACCAACTCTCATTCCGCAATCTAAAATACGCCAACAGCACCGAACTATCAAAATACATCCGGAATCTCAAAGAGAAGATCAGCCAAACCGTGTAACAACACTACAAAAAGGCGCGACCTGTTCATATCAGAAAAACTACACATCATCAAAGCTAATAACAACACCCTCCTAAACAAACGATCCGAATTAATCTCCAAATGCCGACACAAAAAAGTTTTATCTCATGAACAATAGAACTCTACCTAACTAATTAACCTCTATCGAATAACATTTCCTTTGTCAAATTTTATCACACCTTTTGTACATTTAAACCACGGTAGCAGGAATATTTTCATTATAGTCTGTCTGAAGAGTGCGCAAGCACGAAACTCGGAGTAACAGAGAACATGTCTCATTTCTAGCATATCTTCTACTACATCTATTGCTCTGTTCTTTTGCACATCGAGCACTGTTAAGTCAGAACAGACGAACGCAATCAGGAATAATCGCAAATGCATAATCATTTTTTCGCATGTCTGTATTTTCACATACATTTGTATTTCTGCACACATCTATGTGTGAAATCGATTACACATGTCGATTATCTTGCCCTTATGCTTCCATGTTACAGATGCATAGATAATAAACAATATTTTTGATTTTATGTTATCAAGTTATCATACTAGGCCGAAGAAAGTATTGTTTCGTTTTCCTTCGAACGTTTTCTTTTATAGTTGTTTTTTGTATCTGAATTATCTTTTTAACAGATCAGCAGATCGACAGCTAATGAATTCAACGTGGATGGGGCCAAGGGAACTGCAGCAAAGAAAAAGAAAAGATTTTACCCACCAAAAAGTCCAGCCCAGGCAAGAATAAGCCCTCCAACAGGTCAGATATGATGTCAATCTTATTTCTAAAATTTTAAACATCGGAAGATATAATACTATTCATAATTTAAAAATGGCTTTGAAAAACATTTTGAAATATTTTACTAAGTCTTTTCGTTTGACATTCTTCGTCTGAAAAAACGTCAGAACATCTCACGCTAGTAAATTAATATACTCAGTTGTGGATCGAAAACTATGTTCGGACGTTTTATACTCTGAAGAGTGTCAGACAAAAATCTTTTGTAACATGTTTCAAAATGTTTGCTTTTTTCAAAGCAATTTTTAAATTCTGTACCACGAAAAGATTGTTCGCAAATTTATAATTTATTAAGTGAACCCAAATTTTTTTAGTTGAATATTTTTAACTAATCAAATACAGTAGGTATTTCGTAACCTAAAAGCCTTTTGTTGTATTTCATAATCCAAGCATGACAATTCTGCTGTTTTAAAGCACGTATTCTCAAGAGTAGAGCATGGAGCCTAGTTGAGTCTGGTGGCAACCTTTGGTGTTTTGTTTGATGCCTTGTCAATATTCTGTAATGCTTGCCAAAAGTTTCTTGGAGCATTCAAGCAGTTTCAGTCAATTCTTGTCTACTTTCAGTTCACTCATAAGGAAATAGCTGAGTTGCCCTCTTGCGAACAAAAATATTTGGGAAAAATTCACCTCTGTCATCCTAGTTTCTAAAATGTAGGTTACGTTTGAAAAGTATATTTCTATAGAGAATATTCCAATATCCTTTGAAAAAGAAGCAGAGAAACTGCTGATTTGAATGAAGAAAATGCTTATGGCGTTGCCGAATTTGGCAGGCATTCTGCAGACCAATGTTTTTCAACTATGTTTGGTTTCGTTTTGTCGAATTTACCTTCTTACCTATTTCGTGTATTTACCTCTAAATAGCATCTGTCAGAGATAAGAGCAGATCTCCGATTGGCATTCCCGTTGCTAAATCATCACAAGATAGAGATGGAAAGGCGACTAGTTCAGCGGTAGCTCCGAAATTCGGAACGAACTGGAATAAGAAACGAAATGAAAAAACGTTGTCTTCGAGATTCAGTGAATTCAATTCAACACCTGCCAAGAAAAGCAGAGAGTCGAACGAAGTTATAACTATTAGCGTACCTATCGACAAACCCCCAACGACAAGAAAAATTCCTGATAGGAGCAGGTCCTCGGAGTCTAAAGGTTTGATTTTTCATTTATGAGGCCTTTTAAGAAGAGTGAAAACTAGAATATCTGTTTATTAACTTCATTATCTTTATATACTTGTTCATATCTTAACTCTAAAGCAGATATATCAACGAGACAGCAATAAAAGTGAGTCTTATTTATCGCCATCACCTGCTATGATTTTTCAAAGCATTTTCGTGGGTTCTTTTATACGGCAACAATGACTCCTGTGCTAGTCTTGCTTAACATCCTAGAAGTAGAACATTTCACCCCTCCTTTTTGATGTTTTGCCATACTTTTCTGTTTATTTTCTCCAAGCCTAGTAACAAATTGTAGCATTGACCAATTGATAGCTGATTTATAGCTGATAGATAGCTGATTGATAGCTGCTAGATAGGTGATTGATTACTGATTGATTGCTGATTGATTGCTGATTGATTATTGATTGATAGCTGATTGATTACTGATTTATTACTGGCTGATTGCTGATTGATTACTGGTTGATAACTGATTGGTTACTGACTGATTGCTGATTGATTACTGGTTGATAACTGATTGATTACTGACTGATTGCTGATTGATTACTGATTGATAGCTGATTAATAGCTGATTGATTACTGACTGATTGCTGATTGATAGTCATGTTTAGCCATCGATATATTCTCATCATTTTGATTACTTCAGTCTTTTTTCTAATTCGGCTTCTATAGCAGAGCGGAATAATCTTTTGATTGGCTGAAGCGCTACCATTTTGAATTTATGCAAAATAGCCTCGTGCTATATAAATCAATGGTAGCGCTTCAGCCAATCAAAAGATTATTCCCCTATGCTGGCTTCTATCTGTAACAAACTTTTTACTTTTCATTATGCTCAGTAATGATTATCCGCAGTTTAGATATACCCTCACAGTAGTAAGAATGCCTTACGGATTTGACAAAATATACACTTTAGGAAAGTCTAAGTAATGATATGATGATATCACGCTTTTTCCTATATTTCTTTCTATTTTTTCAAGTTTCGAATGTTCAACATATTTGAAAAAACTTAATGAATTAAACGATGGTTTTTATTTTGAAAGAGGTGTTAAATCATTCTTAGCTCATCAACATCTTGCTGAATTGAAAGTAGATTCAAAATTCAATTTTTTGGCAGCGCTCATTATTTTAATCATAACAAATTGCAACAGTCATTCTCTTTTATCTTAATGAATACAAACAGTCTTTCTATTTCTTTGATTGTCCTTGTTTTCTATATTTTTGTTCTTAAATGCTCAAAACTCTGTAAATTCTTGAAGTTCTATAAACTGATGCTATTAACTGCAAAATCAAAGCACGTCTTTCAATTTGAAGAAACATCTTTTGTTCTTATAATCATTTGCAAAAAAACATTCTGAAGGGAATGTATTCTAAGCATCTATTAATCTGTTTTAAAAACTTTACTTTTTGTTGCATTTCATAACTTTGTCCATCCCATTGTCCATTTCATAGGTCCGTCTCTTAATTTGATAATTTCTTTACTCTGACTTATTATAGTTGTCTTGTTTAAATTAATTTTTTTTGTCTTTATTATACCTAGAAGCTACCATATCGGTGAAAAAAACGGTTTTCGACCGACTTGGATCGATATCATTGGAAATTGTTTCCAAGGATGGTAAAACGTCAACTAGTTCGACGCAATCCCAAACAAATTCGGTTTGTTGTTTTTTTCATTGCAATATTAATATCGTAAAAACTTGAATTAGTAGGGCCTAAATTTGGAAGTCAATCATAGTTTTATTCGTTGGGCAATCATTCAAAGGCATTGAATCGTGATAACAGGAGAGGGTAAACCCAAACGTACCCAAGTCCGCTAAGTCATTATTTTTGTGCTGCGATGCTATTGGTTCTGGTCACAAGAACTTACCTCGTATTGATTAACAAGACAGCTTCCACCAATAGGAAATTATCAACATCGGATGCTGTTATCACATGAAACTGCAGCGATCACGCCAAAACCAATTGGTGCCTTTAATGGTGTCCTGTTTATGGCTTTCCACAATCTATTTCACATTTATAAGTGATATAACAGCTCACCTTAAGACATAGCTACTTAAGCTAGGTTCTTCATAGAGAGAAAGTCAGCCAGGTTTGGATTTGTTCAAACGAAAGCAGGAACCTTAGACAGGAAACACAAAATGGTAAAATAGTCATCACTTTGACAAAGCCTGGCGTTGGAATGTTTTTGCTGTAGCAATAAGACACGAGAAGTTTATTTGGTTTAAATTGTTCTGTTTGTTGTTATTGTAATCATAATGCTGTGAAATAGTTTTCGTTTGACTGTGCATTTTCAAGGTAAATCGTGTCTTGCATAGCCTACAACAGTTTTCCCAGTTTTGTTATACTGCTCTTCGTGAGAGAAACATTCTTGAATTCTCTCTGACCAGTTTCTCAATTCTGAGCCTAACAGCAAGAAATCCTTACACTATAGATCCTTACAGTATATTCAGAACGCAAGACTTAGAGTCAATTGGACGCTTCAATGTGTTTCTTAATGCTCTATATATTGTTTCTGTAAATAATTGAGGTTGTGAGGGTCAGGTTTAAGATCCACTTTAATAAAAGATCCAGCTTTCGCACTTCTTCACAAAGCTTTTCGTTTTAATCTTTACAAGACCGTGTCGGATTAGGTACCCTTCCTACGTTACATATGGCTCATATTTTACTAACCCTTTTAAGTTTATATTTAGGCGAAAAAAGTACAAAATAGTTTTAGGCAATAACCCAAAGCCACAAGCTTTTTGTCTCCTTCATATCAGGGTCCTGTACAATACAAATTCGAGGACTGGCATCTATTCAAAATTTCAGTTGAGTTCTAAAATTTTAGACACATAATGATGTTTCACAACTGCACGCCTGTCTATATTTTCAGGAAATGAATACAAGCTCTGTGTTTAGTCGTCTTGGTGAAAGCAATTTGCTGGTGAACCGCAGCAGACCTTTGAGATCACATTCTAGAGGATTTTCAGAACCTTCGTTGGCCGTTTCGATGGATGTAGATGATTTCCCAAGTGTTTTGCGCAACACACACCGCACAGCTAGGCCCGTTGAACATGTGCGACCATTTCCACGGAAGCCACTTGCAATGGACTTGGAAGAAAGTAGCCGGATGAATAAACCCAAGCGAAAAATGTCTACCGATGAAAAGGGACGTAGTTCGCAAACGACTCAAGGACCTGAAAAGTCAGTATTTTCTAGATTAGGATCTCGGTGAAAGAATCATTGTGGCTTCTTAACAGAGTAGAAGTCGTTGTTTATATGTTAGTTTTCTGGTTTTAGGTAGCTTCATTTTGCAAAAGGTAGCTGCACTTTCTTGAAAAATGAAGATTTTTATCTCCTAGCTACAAAGATGACGTGAATGGATTGCAGTTACTTGAGGACCGTTCCTCCAAAGGGTATATTAATTGGGGTTGGTATAGTTAGGAGAAAAACTGGCAATTTTTTCTGTTTTTCCATGTTACAAAGCTTGGCCAATTACTGGCCACCTGTTAGCACGTGATAACAGTCCACAACCATCATGATGGAACTTGACTGCCAGCATCTGTCTCACCTATTCTAACTTAGATCTTCTTCGTCCCCAACTAAGTCGTGCAAACAAACCAGGCATTGGTGTATTCATCTGAAATTCATTTCTTGCAAATTCGATAAAAAAATACTGTACTATTTTTCTTCTTTTACCATTAATCTGTAGCTTTTCATTGATAATGACGTCATTTGAACGTTTCAAAGTTTCCAAAGTGATAACTAGTTCCATAGAGAACGTGTTGTTGAAATTAAGCAATTCGCGAAAGGAGAGTCACGTTTAACAGAGTATTAAAAAGTTATATGTTTTCTTGGGTGACAATGGCATCATTTGCATTATCTAAAGCCAAAACGTCCCCATTTTAAGTTTCATTTCCTCTAGTAAGCCTTTGGCTTCTTCACTATTTCAAAGAAGGGGAGTAAAGAACACAGCCATATTAACTCGTTTCTCGCCATAATCTTTTATCCTGTGAGACACCAGCTAAGATTTCTATATAATTTAGCCTTCTCGACATTTTTTCTTTAACAAAATATTGTTCTGTTGCATAAATTTTGCTTTATGTTCATATATTCGTTTAGATACTTGGTTCCATTTAATAATGTCTTTGTAATTGCGGATTTTTGTTATCTTTGAGCCCTAATGACCGTTTTTCCACTTTTTCCATGAAAGCCTCTTCCAAAAAGAGCGTGAAAATACAAAGATGTTGAATTTAAAACATTGTGTAAAACCAATGATTTAGATTTTTTAAAAATCTTCGTAAAAATATATTATTACACCTTCAAGCAAAAACGAGAAAAGTTCTTGAAAATTGAGCAAAATACGGCTTTTTCGAAGCACTTCTCGACGCCCATTTTCTTAAGAGGAGGAACTTTTCTACCCCAATAGCAGGGGGCTCCATCAATTGATTATTGTTAGTTTTATAGAGATATTTCGTCTAAGTTGTATTTTGTCTATGTCTGACACCATCGCAGCACAAAAATCAATTTCATTGCAAAAAGCGAATTTATTTGAATCATATTTTAATCATATACCAATAATGTTAGATTAGATATTCTCGGAACATATGCCCTAAAGGGAATATCTGTCGGATATTTTGCAGTGTAACGTGTCCTGAGGATATTCCGCAAAATAAAAAAACCAATTAGCGATAAAGAAAGATATCCTATCTTTCTTGGAATGAAACCAAATCGATTTAATTTTATTTTGAATATCTGCATGGCAGGAATACAGACATCAGAGATGCCGAGTGTCTTGTGACGTCATGACGTAACTGTCTTCCATGCTTCTGGGCACCCTTTTGTTGTTTTCCCGAAGAAGGAAGGTGTATTGATTTGGAATAAACCAAAAATGAACATGCGCATCACGTTCACGAAAACAGTCTTTTCACCATACTTTCCTGTTCCTTTTTGCATTATTTTTTACAGATTTTACACGAGGGAGGGTGTAGCAATTATAGAGCATCTTCTTTTTCTTCAATGTTGTCCATGTCCTCGTTCATGTTTAGGCCAACCTGTTTGAAATGGCGCGCGCTTTTTTAAGGACGAATGAGTAAAGGTTATCTCCACTAAAGCCTGGTTTCCATATGATCGCAAGGATCGCCAGCGACGCAAGGGTCGCACAAATTAGGTCATGTGGTTTCCATTTGTCGCAACGGCCGCACATACTTCAAGCGTTGGCGCCAAATTTCGAAATGGTGGGAGCAGATGACAATGAAGTGGAAAGATTTTTGTTGCAGGCTAACTGTTTTTTAATAATGGCGCTGCTGAAGAGAGTTAAAGTTAAAGCTATTTCAATTATTCAATTTTCCCTCGCACCATAAAGGACTGGAACGTTCTCCCAAACCATGTTGTGAAAGCATCACCCATGGACTCATTTAAGACACTCTTGTCAACAGTATAGTAATATTTTAAACTAATTCCTTGATTAATCACCTTTTACTGATTAATCACCTAGGAAAAAGAACGGTGAAGCAGCAAATGGGAACAGCTTTTTGAATTCTAGTTTATCTCAGATCCTTTTTTATACCGTTTGGTTATATTTAGGAAAGCTTGTAATCGTTCCTTATCTACGGTTTCATGCGGATGAATGTAGTGCACTAACGTCTGTAGTAGTTTTCACATTATTAAAGTCTGCTGAAATAATACTTGAATAGAAATCGACTATTCCTTGGAAGGATTTGCAGAAAATTGGAATTTTATAAAGATTTGAGCACATCATCTCTACGAACAAGAATGCTTATGAAATTGATGTTTAACACCCAGCTCTAGCCTTTAACAGGGGCGGATCTAGACGTTCGCACCGTTCGCACATGCGACAGTCAACCTTTTAAAATTATACTAAGAATCCGTCTCGAGAGAGGTTTTTGCTGAACAACAACTTTTTCGCTTATTGGCAAATTTCTCATTTGTTTTTTGATTCTATTTACTCGGGAATTATGCTTGAGTTATATTTGACAATTGAACACCGTGCAGGAGTAGGAAGATCCAAGATCTGAATCATGCATGATTTAAACCTGGCCATAAACAGAAGCAAAATCTTAAACACAATCTCTAATTCTATCTCGATCTTGATTCAATCTGATTCAAATCTCAAAGCATCTTGACTAAAAAACAACAGGGTACCAATGTAGTTAGATTAGGGTATTTCGGTGCACAGTATGATTAGTAGCACGTTCGCACCGATTCGCACAGCTTTTGTTTTAAAATATTTAGCCAATCAAATTGCTAGATAGTGCGAACTTCGGTGCACAGTATGTTTTTTAGTAAGGTCGCACCACTGGGCTAAGATTAATCCGTCCTCATTGCGTGTATTGTGCAGTTTTGAGCTTATTTATGCCTGGCATGTGTAAAACTAATAAGTTTTTTTTTTCTTTTTTTTTTTTTTACAAAACTAGTTGTATAACATTACTCCCCCCTTTGAAAGACAAGCCTCCTGGCTTGATCTCTCGAAGGGGAAGAAACATAAAAGTATTATAAGGCAGCACGAAGAATCAAATCAAATAATTTTACTGAAATGAGTAAATCAAGTACCATCTAAGAAATAATGTCCCTGTCCAAGTTTATTCCGTCCATACGGTTCTCTACCCGAGGCTATAACAACATTATGTACACGTAAAGGTCCTTCTCTTCTTTTAGTGTCAATCAAATTTTTTTCATATGTTGTGGCTAATAAACCCTCGTCAACTTCCATTGGTTTTGAAGAAAGCAGTCGCGTCACCATTGGTCGTGATAGTTTATGTGACTCCAATTCATTGACAATCTCCTCCAATTTCTTAACTCGAGTTTGAAGATCTTGAAAGTGTGGCTCATTTCTTTTGATGTTGCCAATAAAGGTAACCCGAGGTCGCTCTTCAGCTACCGAGGCAACAATCACAGGTTCATTTTGATCACACTTCTCCTGGGATGCTAAAGAAAATTTCCTGTCCCTACAATATTTGGCAACGTGACCAACGCGCAAACAACAATAGCAAATGGGCTGGCCATCTTCAGCACGATAGACATTAGTTCGATTCACGAAGAAATTTCTCCCATTCTCCTCTGCCAACCTCACCCTTTCGGCCATGTGAGATACAACGGTCTTTATAATATCCAACAGAATTTCTCTGAATTGTTCTGTTGAAATCATTTCCATTTTTTTTCTGCGAATTCGTCACGTCGTGGTCACCAATGTAAAACTAATAAGTTTTTTTTTTTCTTTTTTTTTTTTACAAAACTAGTTGTATAACACATGGGCAAGTTTTTCACTGGAGAAAAGGAATTTTGTGTTATGGAGTCGGCTGGCTACATGTAAAACGAATACGTTAAACCTGGTAATTTGGAAGACAAAGGTCGCTAGATTTTCAGAGTAACATTCGACACGGGATGTTTTCAAGTTTCGATGTTCATTACCTTCTCCATGGATCGAGGGCCTACTAATGTCAATAAATGCACTGGACTGGGGTGATAATCAGTGGGCGGTACCTGCGATTTGGCTCTGGCGAAGAAATAATGTTCAGGACGTTGGCAGAGAAAAATTTTCACTTAGACAAAACTTTCAAAGTGAATCTTTTCAATGTGGATTTTCAGTTCTTTATCAGCTTTCAGATATTTCCGGGTAATGTTTACTTGCTTGGGTGTTCCCCTGAATTCGAAGGGGTTTCTTCGGAGTAAAATACATGTTTACACGCTGATTTGGTTTAGCTATTAAATAATATTAGTTATTAATGCAGGTTTTATGAATATTTGTGTAAATTTGTTCTATTTGGTTAGTTCTGAAAATTCATTGCAATGATGTTTTTCAGTTTTTCGCGTGGCTTGGTTTGTCATCGTATACCATAAACAAATCGAAAAAGACGACTCGAATTTTTGCCTGATTATGAAAGGAAAACCGTCAGTACGCTTTCTTGCTTTACGCTTGGCTAAGAAACAACACAAATGATTCTGTAGTATCAATTGAAAACTCAGATAAAGAATGAACAACAGTTTGGCCACGTTCTAAATAAAAGCCAATTTAATGTGCGTGTCGATTGATCAAATGAGAAGGGGGCGAATATCCTCAAAAACCAAGGGGTGTGGTCACGAATGATATTTCTGACCACACCCCTGTGTGCGACAGTCAGAATATATTCTAGATCCGCCCCTGGCTTTAATACCTCCACTCGTATATGTAGATCAATTTCGTTATGTGATGTAGCTCGGTCATTGAGACTAGGTCAAAATACATTGAATAGTGACAGGAGTATGTAACAGGAGTAAATGACAGGAGTATATGACGAAATATATAGAGTATGTAAAAATAGCATGCAACAGGTGTTTGCACGGCACGTCGCTCTGAACTCTTTTTTAATAAGAGTTAATCTTCAAACCAGAAACTAGAATTGCGAAATTCTGCAAAGTTGTAGCGTGTGCAGAACAAAACAAGTTCTTTCCCTGTAAACCAGTTTTTGAAAGGAGGCAGCCTCGCAGAACTCATCTCAAATGTCATAATGCTCGAGGGCTCATTCATGCAACAGATTGCGCAATCGAGATTTATGGGATTTGAGCAAGAAAGTACCTCAAATCGGCTAAATAAAAGCCAATTAACAAACACAGAGATTTGTTCGCAACTTCACACAGATTGCCGCGTTATAAACACCATGTCCAATGATTGATGATTCAAATCCTAACCCTAACGTTGGTCGGAAAATTTCAAGATCGTCACATGTTTTTCAAAAACTTTGAGAAATAATTTCCATCATGGCAGCATTGGTTAGGATGTTTGGGGGATCTTTACGGTAAAGGGTCGTCTCCAAGCATGAAAGGAGATCTTTATCGAGGACATTTTCAACACTGTATCGTTTCTCAATAAGTATTCAGAAATATATTTCACAAGGTGGGTCGCCCTATGCATTTAAATTGAAACATAATATAAAAAAAGAGGACTTTAAGAGCGGGGTTAAAATTCTACAATGAAGGGGGAACTTTCTGCAATTCAGCTGTATTCTGATACTTTTCACTAAACTCTGACTAAATGGATACTTTCTCACGAAAGAAGCGCTAAAATGCGGCGCTTTTGAGATCGATGAAAAAGGAATTAAAATTCCAGGAGTAATCCACGTGAACCAATCTCTTTGAACGGCGCATCCTTGTGTTTGAATAACACAAGTACTGCCGCCCAAAAATAGTTGTTGTCAGTGGTGTCGTGGAGGGGGGCTCAGTCTGCCTTATTAAAATCAAGAGAGATTTTGGGAGGGCCCAGCCCCCCTTTAACAAACCATTGTATGTTTGGCTCGGCAAATTCTTTATTTGAAAATGTAAATTCAAACTTTATTATGCTACTGATTTTCCGTCAATGAGGAATTTTCTATCAATCTCTGTTTGTGTCCGTGAAGCTTAAATTATTTATAACACCCAACAGATAACCTTCAGAGCACAAGCATATACACTCTTTTTTATAAGAACCAGTAAATTTGAGTTCAGGCTGATTGTTCTTAATTTTTCCGAAAATTTGAGGCTGGATTGTTCTTAATTTGTTCTTAAATTTATAGGGTATAAGCAGTGCGATTTCTAGTTTTTCATTCTGGGGAGGTGTTCAGGCCTCTTTTGCCAACAAAGTGCATAGAGACAAACTTAATTTGCCGCCATGTTTTAATATTCACCGAAAAAGCACCCACACATGGCTGAAAATCCTCGTTTTTGAGATAAAACGTTGTTCAAAATTTCATTTTACAGTAGCTCAGCCTCAGCTTGTTCTAAATTTGTTCTTAAATTTTGACCCATTTTGAGGCTCGTGTTCTTATAAAATTGTTCTCATAAAGAAAAGAGTGTTGGGTGTGACCATAGATGTGGTCCTGGGAGTTCTCTACAGCACAACCCCCCTTCCTAGCCTTTTAGAGCGGCACATTTGGTTGTTGTATCAAAGATGATTCTATTATCAAAGATATGCCTCCTTCTGCGTTTGAAGAAGCTCTTTGGGAAACATGACATATGTTCAGACCAAATCACTGAAGCGTGATCAGGGTCAGGAATTTGTCACTTCGGACAGAAAGGAATGTAGTTGTGTCAGAGAAAGACCACTGAGGACAGACCACTGCAAGACTTGTAATGGCCTCTGCCAAATTTTCTTTAAATGAACGATAATTTCAACTAATACAAATTCCAAAGAAATTCAGGTACGTCATGTCTGTTTTATAAAGTAATAAACCTCACCGCCCCTTTTTGCCGGCCTAAATGTAACTTTTCAAAGAGCAGTGATGTGGAAAGAATTAATTAGCTCGAGAAATCTGGAAATATGCTTATGTAGTGCTGTCACGCAACAGTAAGATTCAATATAGTATATAATTCCCAGCGTTTCAGCAATTTTATGAAGATAACATATTTTTCATGCGTGGATTATCTAGCATAATCACCCAGGGCCTGTCTTCACCACCTTCTAAAACCGAAATGGATCAAAGGTTTAATCTCATAGCATGTTAACAAAATGGGATTTCAAATGAAAAAGAAACACTGATATTTTAAACAAGCAGCAGAGTAGGATCCAAAGATTATGTTATGAATAGATCCACGGAGAAACTCGACTCCCAGACCAATAGTCTTCGCCGCTGTTAGTTTCTTTTCAGTTGAGTTAATTTGTGTCAATATTTTTTTGACCCGTATCGGTTTTGTTCTTTTTCACTTAATAACGGATTAAAAATAGTCACCTCTCTGTGTCCTTTGTGTTCTTTTTAGCCCTTTATAATCCAAAAAATAAAGGAGAAATTGATAACTTGTGTTTATTGAAGAATCTGAAGTAAAATATTGTTATGAACTTACCACAACATCTTATCTTCAACTATATAAAATATAATCGTGGAAAATTATACTTTTTTGCTCCATGAAAACACACATTCTATAAATTGATCAAACTAGCCAGACTTAAGAAAACCTACATTATAAAGTCTTTTAGTCTTATAAAGATTAGTTAATATTGCAGTGTGTCCATTTTCCATTCCTAAAGTTAAAAAGATTATTTAAAATTTGGTTCTGTTGTGTTACTCTTTTACCCTAAATAACCCTCCTGCTTAATTTTTTACGAAAAATTCCTTTACCCCACTGGTCTTACATAAGAACCTACTGCTTATTATCTCCTTTCTTTTCTCCTAGAAAAACCTAGAGAAAAAATCATTTATATACCTTACTTACACCATTATCCTTGACACATTATAACTCTTTTGTCTTGCTGTCTGCAGGTTTGAATTTGGAAGATGCTGTTTTTTTGTATTTTTAAACTGTAATTCTAACAAAATTTTAAACTGAGAAACACACATGAAAACAATGAATTGACAAACACCGTAGCACCAGTTTGCATTGTCCATATACCATTCCATGTGTATGCCTTTATCTTGTGATATATTACTGACCAGATATTGCAAGAATTTGAAATGTAGTTTCCTATTTACAGGCCTTTTATCAGTTTTTCTGCACTATACACATCATTTGCTTTTATACTTCCAGCCCCCCTGTTTATTGCATTTGGGTAATCTTTCAAACCCCTCTGCCTATTGAGACTCTCCATCTATTTGAGACAGAACAGTATATCAACAGAGAATGCTATATAGTTATATTTCAAGCCAGCTGCTTCTCCAAAAACCCAAACAAGATCATTTTTATATATATTTCAGTTGTTTAAACTAAATGTTAGAAAGTAGCAGGAGAAGGTAGCCTCCAGAAAAATGTTCCTTTCCCGCATCCTTTTCCTCAGCAATTTCCCACTTTAGGTAAGCATCAGTTAAAGACATCTTTCTATCTATAGCTTAAGCTTAGCCTAGCTAAAAAGTAGGATTTGGAAAAAGCTGAAGAATCTAAATAAACTAAGAATTAATTGCAGATTGCATGAAAATTCTGCTTTTTGTGTGCGAGCATGTCTCATGCAAAATGAAACTTTTAGCATCTAACAAATGTACAATGAATTCTGCATCTAACAAAATGTGTGATAAATTAAATATCTAACAAAAACCTTAAGAGACTGCACTTGTAATAATGTTAGTTCCTTGAGAATTTAATGACCCGGGATATAAAAAAGTCTGATAAGATCACCACCTTGCGTTCTTAAATTCAAGAATTCCTTTTGGCTCCAGGTGATGAAGTAATTAGGGTGTGTTTCTTTGATAAAGATCTCTTGATACAGTGTAATTTGCACATAGCCATTTACATCATTCCAAAAAAAGTATTTTATATTTTTTATTTAACTAGTGCAAGATGTTATTCACTGAGAACTACTTGAACTATGTAAAGGAAGTGCCCTCAGACAGTTGGATGGATTATGAGGTTCTGTCAATTGATGATCTTGCTCTTCTCCCAAGAAAGCTGTCATTCTCCGAAACTAGTTCAAATGGTATTGCTAGTCACGATTCTGGTCATGATAGCTACCTGGACGATGGTAAATGATTTTGTGATATTTTGTTTAATGTGAAATTTAGGTCATAAGGATATTGGCAATATGAATACATTAAATAGGCCTCCAGAAAGAAGAATTTTCATGAACCTTTTACATGTAGGGTAGCAGTTATGATTTTCAGCAATAATAGTGTCAGATTGGTAATTCTTTCAATACTTCACAAAGCTAAACTTTGGCAGTTTCAATTCTGGCAAAGATTAGGAGCTCTAGTTTTAGATTGTCATTTGATTGCAGTTTTTATATGTATGAGCTATGTGATGACGTATGTTATTGATTTTAAAGAGGCAAATTGAATTGCTTTCTATTTGATAAATGTTTTTTTACATAGATGTTGGTTATTACCTTGTCAAGTATTTTAATAAAACATTATTATCCATCCAATCTATTTGTTTGCTTTTGCTCACTCAAGTTTGAGCTCCTTTTAGTTGAAATAATAATTAATTCAATTATTAATAGGCCTCGTTTATTGAGAAACTGCAAGGTGTATGCAGCAAAGCCTATTGAAGTGTCATGTTAAAACATTGTTTGGAATGAATATTTTCTAATCTGCTTAGAAAATATAAATTGTCCCAAAAGTATAGCTGAATTTGCATTTTATGGAACTCAGTAGAAGTAAGGCTGATAAAGCCAGATCTGTTAAAATTACACTTTTAACATAAATATAAAAAGAAACAAAGACTACATACCAGCTAAAGGCCGCTCAAAACATATAGAAAAATTGAACAGATATAAAATTGATTATTTTTGGAAGATTGCCTCAGTAGATTCTCTCATGGTTATTGCTTATAGTCTTGCTAAGTCCCTACATTTTTTATTTAATCATAGTTACCTACTTATTTTCTTGTTTATTTTATGATTACTTACTGCTTAAGAGTTTAATTGTTTTTTTACAAAAGTGCTTGGAAAATTTGTCTTTGCGGTGGAAATAGATGTGCTGCTCCAAAGTTTAACTGTAAAAGTGCTAGAATGAACATTACTCTGTTAAGAGCAACACTGTCTAGCAGTGTCATTTTCTAGACATAGGAAGCATTGATAATTCTCATGAGGTCATATATATTTGCTTTTAATGAAAATATGCTGCATAAGGTTATGAAACATGACCATTTGAAGTATGTGTACAGTAGCAGGTTGAGGCAATAGTTTTTTATCACGAGGTTAAATAAACAAAGCAAGATTAGTGCTTGGTCTGATTGGGATATTTAACTTATTCTGTGACCTAGGTTATGCTCACAAAGATGGGGTTATAAAATTCAGGTGTAACTACTGCATATGCTATAGAGGTTAACGTGCTGCTAGGCTTCATTAAATAAGATAAGATTGTTTATAAGTGATGTATTTATAAGTATTTGTAAGTATTTCTAAAGTAGACTATGATATTTAAACTTTAAACGATATAAAGAATATAAAGTGTATTGATTTCGGTAAGACATGGTAAAACCATCCTTTCACTGTAAAATGTGTAAAATGGTTCAGTTTCCATCTATGAATAGGTAGGCATTCCTTGATCGAAGTACTCTGTAAATTAGCTGATTTAAATTATCTAATACCAACAATGATATTTCACTTCAATTGACTGTAATTCACGAGTGAACCTAATTTCAAGTCTGTATTTTAAGTTTGCTGTGCCTACACAACAGAGCGGTGTATCTCATGCAACTAAATCTCCTTAAACTAATTTTTATTTCACAGAAAATCGTTTCTAGGATGATTTAGAATATTGACCAAATTATTTTTTACTCACCTCATCCAACTGTGCAATATTATGAAATTATATGATTAAAAATTTATAAATTTTTTACCATGTATCCAGGTTTGTTTCCAAAAGAAATGGTATTTCTGCGTATATTTATTAGGTCTTTGTGGATTTTTATCCAATTGTGAGTTTCAAGCTGATAAGATACAAATAAGGTAAAGGGGTTTCAGGCAGTAATGAAAATTGATAAAAAATTTTCACACAGGTTCGCGAATCTCTAAGAGGGAATGTGACCTATAAAATGCCCCCTCATGATCGTTCTACAACTAGTTTTCTATTGACTAAAGAACTTGACATTTTTTTAGGGACTGGGTACTCCGGAGATGACGAGGAATCTGTGAAATGTGACCTGTGCCTAAATGGCCAAGGGAAGGTTAATCAGTTCAGTGACGGAAATGTTCGAAAGTCAAAGCGACATCGACGTAGTAGAAAAAATAGGAATAAACGCAGAGCAAAGAAATCGAATAAGGAAAAGGATGTTATTGTTTTGAGGGAACTTCCGAGAAATGATAATTTTGAGTTTGAAGGAGAGAAAAAAGTGGAAATGAAGTGGACACTAGAGTGTTTTATGGATGTCAGTTTGATGCCAAAGTTAAAACGTGTTATCATTGATCGAGGGAGGCCTGAAGACTTAGGAGTGGACAATTTGCTGGTTTTTGACGAATCCTCGGGGTATTGCAAAATTCAGGACTGGAGGCAGAACATGCTACAGCAACTGGGTGCACGCAATGAGCAGCAAGTGAAAGCATTCAATCTGCTACCCAGCTATACATCATGTGATTCTTGTGCTGAACAAAGACAGAAAGAAATACAGGATGCCTTAGGCCATGATCGCGGTTTTTGTATTGTCGGGGAGACGGGTTCTAATACGCTTTTAGAAGCACAGAAGATATCAAATGGCAATGACACGAAGCAGTACTGGAGGAGAAGAATAATTAATGACTTAAAACTAAATAATTGTCGTGCACAGGCGTGTATGCGGGCGGTAAAAAGGGACAGGATCTTAACAACGTCATACCCATTTACCAGTCGGAGGCGAAGAAATCCTAAGTTAGAGAAAGTCGACGAAGAGGATTGGGAAGTATACGAAATTATTTCTGACGATGAATTTTTGGATATGAACAATTTTATATAGATTCACTTTGAATGGGTATATTATTATTTATTTTCGTTTCTCAAGTATTTGTTTCAGATAGGTACCAATGGCTTTTGCTGCACCCAGTTTAAAAGCGTGCTTTGAGTATAGGCCACGCAAGCTAAAAACCTCTACAGAGCAGCTTTTCTTTTGTAACAGGTAATTTAAGAGGATTTCATAGACGTTTTTTGCCTAGGACACATTTATAAAGCTCCTCATTTATAGACTTCTTCAATTTACCGTTACAATAAGCAGTACTTTTGAAATATTTTTCGCTGAATAACCGCCCCCGAGACATGTGTCTTCAGCCGTGAATTTTATGGGAGAGATGAAAAATTTGATGCAAATCCAGGCACTGTTCTCGAGCGAGTGTAACAATTTTCTCTTTTACATTGTCTCATCTTCAATCTCAAACAAAATCAAATCCGGATGAAAATGTTGTATCCAAGAAGCCAGACTGATTGTCGAAGGTCGAAAGCTTCTTAACTGTTGCTGACCAGAGAATGGTGCTTGAGAAATCAAAGAATACATCGACTGCCTTTCAAGGCTACCTACGTCATGACTGATGGCGGCAGGAACTGCCATCCTTTACCAACAGGGAGACCTTAAGGTGATTCAAAATGTGTAATCTGGAGAATGATGCCCGTTCTACTTTTGCGATATCTCCGTTGTACATGTCCAAATTCCCTTTTTTGCAGTTATATGAAATGTTCCTTAACATTATCTAGTAAATACTGAAAAGTGCTAATAAAAAATGGAAAGTATAATAAAGTATCCCCTGCCTTGCCCTGCCGATTCAATTTTAGGCCTGTTTTGGTAGTTTGTTGTGCGTTATATGGATTCTTCGGTGTGATGCTGGCATTTCACCATTTCTTATCCTAATTCCGACGTACATTGTCATCTGGCCTATCCACAAACACGTGACAAAACCAGCAACGAGTGCTATTGCTTTTTTTGCTAATTTTTTTGGAATCGATACATGAATGCGATTGTTGGCAAGCAGCATCCTTGAAGGAATATCAGCATAGTCATGGGTTGAATTATTTGAATTTGGATCTAGGTAGAAATACAACCAAGAGTGTTGTGACGAAGTCTTGTCAGTCTGCTCCGTTCCTTCCCCAAAAACCCGAATGGCTATGTGCCCATGTAGCAAAAATCTGCGCCCGCATACTTATGGATTCCCTGTCACAATCGACTGCCTGGGTCATTGTGTTCGTTCTGGATAAGGCTTTATGTGAATGGTATACTTTGCCAATGAACCTTTAACGAATATTATAATCTTCGTAACTAACCTGGGACTGTTTGAAAGCAGGCCTAAGAATGGCGATCGAATTTTCTCTTAATGACACCTATTATTTGTTTGGTTGCTTATGTTTTAGTGCTTGACATTAGTATTAAATAGCGCAATGCCAGGCTTCCTAGCTGTGCCAATAATAACAAATTGTTAATTTTGTAAATATTGATTTTAAGTATCTCTTAAAAGTATGTTTTGTGCTTTGAAAAGAATTATTACTACTAACCCTTACCGATAAACACAAACGCCTGTATTTTGTTTTCTCTTTTATTTTAAATAACCTAATTTTGAAGACTTCAGCAAATCATGTCGTGGTTTTCTCGCTACTTTTTCATACTGCTGGTAGATCCTTTAACCAGTGTCTTAAACAAAATCTTGTTGCCCTCATTTAACAACTTTCCTAGATATCCTTGAAGCCACAATCCTGGCCAAAAGGTTAGTGGACTGGAGAAAAAAAACATTAAAATTGCAACTTTACGCAAGAAATGTTATCAAAGGCCCCCCCCCCACCCCTGCAGCAATGTTGGTTCTTTTGAAAATACCCAAGTAACAGCAATCGAACAAGTAGAAATAAGCGTATCAACATTGACTGGGGGGGGGGCCGGGGAGAGTATTTTTCCAAAAATACTACAATTAACTTTTGGCCAGAATTGTAGATATTAATCCAAAATTGTGCATATGATGCTTTCAGTGAGACCATTCAAAAAGATCTGTTAGATTAAAAAGGAGTGAGTATAGTGGTCATTTGTGTGGCTAAAAAGTTTGGAAGTAGCGATTTCGTTTGTTTCTTATATAGCTAGTTTGATGGATGATGAATACAAATTTTAGAAATGTTTGAGAAACGTTTGTTGATCAATGGGACTAATGCAACCAAAGGCAAGCTAAAATCTAATAAATGGAACCGACAAAATGAAGCTGCTTATAAAAAGTAATCCTTGAGACTTGGCTCTGATGGACGCAGAATCAGAGCGTCTTGTCACCTGTTTGCAAAGTTTCAAGAGCTGTCCAAACAGCAACTGCTTTCTGCATTGACAATGGCTAAATCATTTGTCACTACCAACCTTCATTCATCCAGTCAAACCGCTGGAAATGAGACAAAAGAGCCTGTTTCAATTGTTTTTAGTCGTGTAGGTTTTAGCTAAGGGTAGGAAAGGGGGCTTATTTAGAGGATAAGAATTGTGAGGGGGTAACCCTGTACTAACCAGATTAAAACAGCGTCAAAGAACAATTCTTGCCATGAACTTTGAAAGAAAGACACTCCAGAAAAACGATGCTGCGAATCGATTTGATGTTTACTTCACGTGACCAGAAAGCAGATGACGAAAAGAATGCCGATTACTTTCCAATCAACTGAATATCTTGGCATAACAAGGCCATAATCAAAGGATAATTTTGAAAGGTCACCTGTTCAATTAAGCTTTTTCGCAGTGCCTCTAGTACTGGACGGATGTTTGGCCAAGAGCTTTAGAACACGAGTCTTCATTTATATGCGTACGTACCTACCCTTTTGAATCTTTTGCACTTCAATCTTGTTTTTGAATCTTGTTCGCCCATAAATCGACAAGATTATATTCGTCCTGAAAGAAAAACTTTGCCTATGCTTGATATGTGTATCAAATTTAGTGCTTGATGTAGGAAGATAAAACTATTCCACAGAAATCTAGTTCACTGGCACTTTCCAAGGAGCAATAATCCTCTTCAAAGAAAGATACCTCTAAAGGAAAGATATGTAGCATCCCACTTCGTAGAAATGTGATATTTTTGTCATCATGTTTAAAGATGTTAGTAAAGTTACGGACTTTTCTTGAATGCTAGAAATAGAAGATATCTTACTGTTTGAGCGTAGCAATGGAATTATTTGCAAACAACACGATTGAATTTCTTGATCTGTCTGATAATACTTTTTCTATAGATCAGAAGAGAATTTGAATTCGTTGGACGCATTTAGCAATAAAAGCGCAATGAAAAGAACTGGTTTTGTCATTGTGCGATACCTAATTTCTGGCATCATCTTCAGTTGGCATTCCTATCTCGATGCCGCGGGGCAAGAAAAAATGTCATCCTTTCTCCGAGTCGATAACAGCTCCATTTCTTTGTACCCTGCAGAAGTGACAGAAACCTGGCACGAATGTAGTATTGATTCCAAATGTAATTTTCTGGTTAAGCAACAGGAGAAATCGAAAGTTGAAAAGAGAGAGTCGATCATTGCAGTAACCGATTACTTTGCCGTGTGGAAGAAGATCCCCTTTCCTTGTAAGTCGCCTAATACTTTTTCAGACCGTAATACACTACTTTAAGTGAACTACAGTAGACGGATTAAAACATTAAAGCTCGTATAATTTGTTACAGAATTTAGCTGGTACACAATCATATAAACGAAGCCCCCATAACTCGTTCCTTCTTGCTTTCAAAGTTAGAAATCTACTATCCTTGCCAAACATTGCGAAAACGTCGAAATATTCAAGTTCATAAAGTTGACAACCCTAGAGTCTGACTGCCTCTCTAAGTTATCAATTATATAAATGTTATATGTAGGTGCTCCACCGAATATAACATTGTCGTTTCATGTTTGAGAAGGCATATTCCATTAAAAACCCTTGTTCTCGTTATCGTTTTCTTAGTTCTGATGTTCCTGACTGACTCTCCTCTTCACAGAATAGCCAAAAATTGCTGTAGCTCGTAAGGTGCTTTGTTAAAATTTCTAAGGCTTTCTCCTGTTTGAAAAAGTTTCTAAAAACTGATTGATAGTTTCTGGTGTTGTAGAAGTGTTTTTTCGAAGGACTTGATTAGGAGACAATAACCCTAAGCGCCTCTCGGGTGGGAGACAAGCAGTCATTAGCACCTTTTGTTTTACTTTTTTCCATCAAAAGTTTTCCAAACTTTTGTTGTTTCGAGACATGTGATTCACAAATGCGTGTTTGTTTACGTGTTTATGCCACTGCTCTGCGGATACGTATGCAAAATAGCCACCTGTTCTTTGAGTGCGTCAATCGCTGACGCCAAAATTGTACATGCTGCAGCTCACATAAGTTCCCTTCAATTACGTTTTCTATTTTCAATTGGATAGATACATTTTTCGCACAGGTCAGATCGGGTGGGACTAAGGACCAGATTAGCGTGGGTGCAATTGGTGCTGCAGCATTAAGCCCATTCCTGAAAAATACCCAGATAAAAACAGACGAGAATTGATCTGAAACTGAAAAGGCCTTTTTTGTGCCACAGCATCATTCCCTATTTGGGCTTCATCCGGCATTGTTGGGACCAAAATTATGTTATGGAATTAGTCGACATTTGACTCATGCTTCAGGGCTTCCGACGAAGGGGGGGGGGGGCGGTGGCTTAGGCCCCCCTCCACTTTTTTGCAAAGCAATAGAGCTATTTTCAAGATCTTTTGTTATAGCTGTTTAATTTTTCCTTGCCCCCCTTTCAAACCTGTGTCGGAGCCCATGTGCTTATGTCAAACTGCATCGACATAAATGTTAATCCTAACGGCTTATAGGTTGCTCTTTGGGTTCTTTTTTCGCAGCGCTCTTAGTTATTGCAGTAACCATCCAGTCCCTTTTAATCAAAATTAGGAAGGTAATGTTTTTGATACTTCATCAAGGTAATAAAAATTCGACTTATTGAAACAGACTTTACTAAAGAGATTTTTGCTTCAACACAACCGATCCAAGCGACGCCAACTTTCTCGAGATTTCCTGCAACGTTAAATTAATACTAGAATGTATATTGCCGATCTCGAGACTTTGCGGTTTCAATTCAGTATGTGATTTGAATACGAGGCTAACCTCGAGCTTGACTTACTAACTACATTTATAAACGATAACGTTGTTGAATCTCTTACATGATTTTGTGCTTTTAGTTTTTAGCTGAAGTAACGAGGCGTATTTCTATACTATTGTTTTAATTTGTGTAGTTAATTAGGTTACTTCGCGTATCGTGATATTAGGTTTAATCTCATTAGGAACGCTTTTATGTGAATTAGCGTTTAGATATTGAGAGGTTTTTTGAATTGAACGTCGTTATGTTAGGACGTATTTTGGGCATGAACGAAGGATTTTGATGTTCATGATTGCGCTTATAAATAAAGATGTATCGGAATGATGCAAATAAATATTATCCTGGTATTTTTCAT